CTGCCACTAAACAAGCGCGGAGTGAGCCAGGAGTGGTGAAGTATGGTCAACTGAGGGCCCACGAGCAGCAAGCAACGTGGGCACGTCTTCTTGGTTTTTTCGGTAAAGTCACGTAGAAGGGAAGTAATAAAGTAATAAAAATAAAACATAATAAAATAATTATCACGACGTTTCGGCCACAACGCAAGCAGCCGTCTTCAGGCGCTCTTCTTGCACCTCCAACGCAGCTTATATATAAGCTGCTAGCTTGGCAGTGTCTCATTCTTCACCTGAAGACGGCTGCTTGCGTTGTGGCCGAAACGTCGTGAGAATTATTTTATTATGTTTTATTTTTATTATTTTATTACTTCCCTACTACGTGACTTTACCGAAAAAACCAAGTAGATGAATCCCTGCAGTCACGAAAGCTTTAAATCGAAATTTAACGTGGGCACGGCTGGCTTGGAGAGTTGGGCCTCATCCAGCAGTCGAGAATTGACGATCATTTGGTTGGTAATGCTCATGCATAAGCAGCGTTGGGTGAAGTTTACTACACGTTTTATGTATATACAAGGTGGTTAAACGGTCTAAATCGTTACGGTTATATAGAGCTTACGAACAAGGGATTGTTTACTGAGCTAATGGAGTTTTTGATGTCAACGGGTGGTGTAGCAGTCACCACGGCACAATCACGTTAATATCCACCGCTCCAGGGTTAACACGAAATAAAATACCTCCTTAAACACACAAAAACATACATTTACAACGACGATTACTTTACCTGCAACGTTTCTCTGACCGCAAAACTCCCGCGAAACGCGCGGCCAATGATCGGGCCACACTACGACAGGGCGAAGCCCCGCCCATAACTCGAGTCATCATCAACCATCATCTGCCATCATCATAATCATTGATCATAATCATTGATCATCATTCATCATCATGCATCATCATAATTATCTTCCATCATCATCATTGATCATCACCTTCCATGATCATAATCATTGATTATAATCATTGATCATCATTCATCATTATCATCATCTTCCATCATCATACTCATTGATCATCATTATTGATCATCGTCCATCATCATTCATCATCATCATCATTATCTTCAATCATCATCATTGATCATCATCCATCATTATCCATCATCATCATCATTCATCATAATTCATTATCTTCCATCATCATCATTGATCATCATCATTATCATTGATCATCATCATTGATCATCATCATTGATCATCCATCATCATCCATCATCATAATCATTGATCATCATCGATCATCATCCATCATTATCCATCATTATCCATCAACATCATCAATCATCTTCCATCAACATCATCATCCATCATCATCGTCCATCATTGAAACCCTTTTATTTTGCCAGGTAAGACCCACTGAGTTATATAGCTCTTGTTCAGAAGCGGCCTGGCCACAAATGATAGCTTAACCTTCGTTAAGCTATCATCATCATCATCATGTGGAAATATATAGCAGCCAACTACTCTAAACGCGTGATGTTGATTCTAAATGTGGAGGGGAAAACCCGGACGACCTGGAGACAAATCCACGCCACCAAATATACAGCAGGCGTCAGAGTCGGGATCGAACCCATGACCTCTTGTATGCCAGGCGAGGTAGTTCACATCTCCTAGCCACCGTGGTGCCCAAAATATCATCGTTATCATCGGCCATGGTTATTCCACTGCTCTCACGATCACCACCTAGCACCTGAACTGATTCAATGTCAGTTGCTCCATCGCTCCACCAGATGAGTTCTATTCCTTGTCTGCCACTCCATTATTATTATTATTCCCCATCATCCATCCCTTAATCTAGCCGTGACGTACTCCTAACCAAGCCATACTTTACAATCCTTGTGTTTGAATGATGTCGTTAACCTACGCACGCACATTCTCTAATCCACACGTGTCCTCCTCCACTTGCACTCTAGATGCTCGGTGTATCAGGAGTGTTTAAATGTAAATAAATGCATCTGAGATTGGTGGGACACATGTAAAGACTATGGATTAATTATACTGTACGACACTGCCATTTCTGGTCGATTATAATCACTGTATCAATGATTATTATTTTATCATTACAGCTTATCTCATTATTTTGGAGGATATCTATACACCCCGTGAAGTATATTTTCCATGTTCAGTTTTCACTGCACCCAGTGTCGTAGTGACTGCATTATCAGCTCAGGCGGTGGCCCTAATATTTGAGTTGTCTCGCACGGTGGCACCTAGGCAATATAAATACATGTGAACCGCGTTTTAAATAAGTTCGTGTTCTTTTACACTGTTTAACACGTCGGCTTTCGCGACCAATATCATCCATAATACAGGTTTGTTTTAGGGTTAGATCGCGTAAATATATAAATGTGTCGTTAAACCCGCCACCACCCGACACAGCCAATTAGTAAGGTTTGTCACGTAAACAGAACATGCCAATTCGTTACTAGTACAGCACACCGGTGTGTTCGAGAGCAAATCTACAACACTCACAATCTTTAACACTGTTGTTGAAAACAAATCTCACGGAGGTTGTCAAGGGGGCCCCAAATCGTCGCTTTGGCCACCAGGTGGGGCCAAAGACACCTCGCCTGCCTGCCTGCCTGCCCCACGCTCGTTCCGCGAATGACGCCACGGGAAATCGACGACCACGATTCGGGGTCCCGATGTCATTGTGAAGACAACAACAGACATGAGCTGCGTGTTGCCATTGTGGGTATGTGGTGAATGTGGCGCCTCGAGTGGCTGCCTGGTGCACATTAAACAGCAACTACCTGCAACAGTGACAGACGTTCCAACGTCTTCATTAGTGCTGACCGTTGGATATTACTAAACATACAGTTTTGTTGTTGTTGTTGTAAATAACGGTAAGTTACCCAACTACATCTTGATTCGAATAAGCCGAGTTGACATTTCCCCACGTATGAGAAATCCAGTGATCTGCGTCTTAACGGCATGGATGTAAGGGTCCATGTCTGAGATATTCGTATGAAGTAAAGGCACTTAAGACCGGGTGATGTTGCCCACTAAGAACGAGACGTGAGTTTTGGTTATTTCCTGTGGGTAATTTGCTGATCTTGCATTGGTTTATACGTAACTAAATATACACTTGATGATGCCTTTCCACGGCTATGAAGCAGACGAACAAGCCATACTGGGCCATCTCTGCATCAGCGCAGTATTGCCACAATAATGCTTTAAAGATCCACCACGTGGCTCTGTGACTTCAGCCTCCTCTCACCCTTTCCCCCACCATCCCTGCCTTTCTTCCACAGCTGCCGGGAAGCATTCGTGATAATTTTAAACAAGATTTACAGTACACGTATGCTTGAAATGAGGTTCTGCTGTATGAAAAAATAATATATTACTTTTGTAACTGGAATGAGCACACCTTTCTCCATCCCGTGTTGACCCTATAACAGCATCAGGTTGTAAACAGGTTTCAGTTTTGTTGCCAGAAAAAAAGGGGAAAAACCCTAATATTATACAGTACTTTGATACTGGCAAAGAAGGTCTAATTATGTAGATGCTTACCCCGAGCCCTCATTACTTTGATAGTGCATTCATTGTCTTTGAGCTGTACGCCTTTTGGCGTCCTCTGGTCGAGCACCAATTGGGTCGAGGCTCAAAAGAAAGCCGTCTCTGGTGTGGACCAATCAGTTTCAAGGACAATGCATATATTATCAGTGTATTCTTTTTGCATTTTGACCACAAATATTGTGGTTAATGTACACATGATTCATTGTAAAAAGGTTTCAGTTTTGTTGCCAGAAAAAAGGGGGAAACCCCTATTATTAGCATTAGGTTGTGAGGGTGGCCCGGGTACGTGGCCCAGCATAACCGGTGAAGCAACCCTGTTGGTGCTGGCTTGTTTGAGAAAAGCTGCTGTGAGATTCCGGGCTGATCCAACTTAACCAGTTCGTACACCAGACCGGGTTCACTTTTAAGTCGTCGTGCGAACGTGGTATGAGGTTCCTTATGTGCGTGATCCACGGCACTCGGGCATGGATGGGCATCTTGAAGTTAAGCCTCGGTCTTGCGATTTTGGAGCGCTAAAAGACCGCAGGATTGATGATGGATACACACATGATGGATGCATGCATGATGGATGCATGCATCCATCATCATCAGTCATGATCAATCCACTGCTGGATGAAGGCCTTTCCAAGTTGTCTCCATCTCTCACGGTTCTGAGGTGCACCTGCACACGAAGCAAGTCCATCGCTCCGTCTCGTCAATGGAGGTCCTCTCTCTATTCACATTGTAATTCATTTTTCTGTCACTCCATCGACCATCATCACTTGTAGGGACTTGTCCTGCCCAAGCCCATTTATCGTCGGACGTGTTGAGTTTTGCTTACTTATCTTAATCGTTTGAATTATATCTTCAACAGCCAGCTTTGTAGCTTTCTGCAAATCATTGGTGATCTTGAGACCTTTGTAAAATTGTGATCTTGAGATAGTGTGGAGGTAGCCTCTACACTGGCCTGAATTTTGGTCATGGTTGTGGGAGAATGGAGCGATAAGTAGGAGAGATACGTTTCATTCGGAAGACTACAATGAAAATCCACTAATAGCAGAAGATGCAGGCTTGTGTTAGACTTCAACTGAACCATTATGAAGCGCAACAGCGAACCTGAACGCACTGATGCAGTTGAAAAAGTATGTATGAACAAAATAATGTTATTACAACGTCCTAAGTACAGCACTCTGGCATTAAGCTATTCTTACTGCATACGTATTGAACAAAGTAGTACGCTGCACCCTTGAAATGCAGTATATCTACAATTGTTTGAAAAAAAAACACGATTTAAAGATTACACTTACAACACGAGACAAAACACGTGTTTTCATCTTCGACACAATACAAAAAAACCGGGTAGCGAAATGGTGTGTGTGTGATGTGTGTAAAGTGTTCCATAAATACTCTCTAGCCATCATTATCCGCGTGGTCACGCACACGAGATAACAGCTGCTACCGCCAATCACGAGCCTTCCAAAAGAGGGCACATGCAAGTGGTGTGCTCGCTATATATACACAACTGGAAGGGACAGCATTGCGCCGGCTGCACTACACAGGGCGGTAGTAGTAGTAGATGCGTGTGCGTGGCACGGATATATACATCACGATTTCCGCACGTTATTTGCAGTGACAACGCACACACGATAATCTCTTACTACCACTGTATTGGTTGTTCATTTACGAATGTAGTGTTTTATATATACTTGACGCCGGGTTATATATAAACACACACGCATCAAGCTGCCAAAGCAAAGGGAGTGTGTATTTATTCAAAGCCCGAGTCAACTTTGAATGGCAACCAGTGCTATCACTGGCGGCAGCTGCAGCAGCAGCAGCGATGTTGACGACGAAGACGACTGCGACGACTTTGCGTATGAGAAGTTCCACGTGGTGCACGGAGGGAATATGCACATGGATTCTACGCGGACGCACGCGACACGTGTCCGCAGCTTCGGGGACGCGGTCTGCATGAGCGCTCAGCCACTTCCCCCAGGTGCGTCGATGGGTGGAGAAGGGGCAGTCCACGGAGTTGTATCAGGATCTGAACGTCTCTTACTGGAGGAATCCTATGAGCACTTTTTTCGCAGACGTCCAGGAGTTTCTCACTGACGTCCAGTATGATTACACTATGTAACACAATTTGTTATTCCTGGGTAATAAGTGTTATTTTTAAATCCGTTATATTAAGTTCGCTTGCTTGTGAAGTACCCGTCGAGGACGCTTGACAACGGAGTTGAGGCACACGTATATTTATTTAACAAGTTGCCAGTACAGGACAGCCCTAGAGGGGGTAGCGGCCCCCTCACCCGTATAACTCAGGGAACACCCCTAGCTATCCATAGCCTATCCCCTGAGTCCTCCACTAAGAGCTAGGGGAGGCTGTCTGGCCCGACACTGGTAATCGGGCTCGGTACCCGGAGTCCCAGAGCACTGGCTCTGGTTCACGGGACCACGCCACTGGCTCGAGCCTGATCCCGTGGGGCCCTGATAAGGGCGGCGATCAGGGGGAGTCCAGGGCTCTAGCTACGACGTCTTCCGACTTCTTAGCTTAACTATAACATAACTGCCTAAGCCCATATAACGACCCCTTTTTATACCCAACCCTCCTTGAGGGGTGGGGCCCCGGGGGATCGTAACGCCGAACCAGCCCCCCCCCAGGGTGTCTGGCTCGGACGTCGCAGAGGGCATCTCCCTGTGCACACACGTAGCCCCGCCCACTGTGTTTCTTTCCCATAGGCTGCCATGCATAACGGCCCTCTCTCCAACATCCCTACATCACTCCCCCCCGCATAGCTCGCAGCCGTCCCGGCTGCAACAATTTCAACCAATGAATCTTTACCCCTTGACTCCCCCCGTGTGTGCCCCATTTTTTCCATTTAACAGAACGAGAATTAAACAACAACACTAACAATGCCCCTAAAGGGAGAACAAACCGACGCGCCCCCCCCCCCGAATAAATACGAAATCCGTAGAGGCAAGATATGTACATTTCCCGGAACCCTCAGCGCACGCACAACACGCACACAAGACGCACACACACACACAGCCATAATACAACAACGCGCCAAGAGCGCCACACGAACGCAGCGTCCAGCAACAATAGCACACGAAAGTGTACCAGAAAACGCAAAAAAAAATAAAAAAATTTTCTTCTTATTTTCGTTTCGTTTTCACTTCTTGTTCGCGTTCCAGTGTTTTTATAAGAGTCTGCGCATTTTAGCGCGCGTCCTTGCCGCAGGCCCGTCACAAGGGCCAACCTCAGATGGCGGACCATTCGGTGGCCGCTGTCCCATCCGAGGCGAGTCCGCAATTGGAGTGGCGGGACCCTCGGCATCCCCCGTGAGGGATGTGCGCGAGCCCGTCATTCCGGGAGAACCTGGGGGCGGGGCAACCGGCAAGACGTCAGGTGAGATCAACAGAGGCGGACCCTCCGGGTCGGTCGACCCCTCACATGCTTGGCCCTGCGCGTGTGGAGCAGAGTCCCGCACCGCAACGAAGGGTTTTAGTCTAGAGGGGTGAACGAACCACCGGCGCCTCCCCCACTTGATACGAACGCACTGCGGTCGCAAAACCTCGACCACCTCGACGGGGCCCCGCCATGGCCGTACCAGTTTCGAGGAGGTCGCAAGCGGTACCTGGGGACAGTGCAGCCATGCCCTGTCCCCTGGCTTCCACTGCAGCACGTGCGCGCGCGCGAGTCTGAGGCGCTCATTCGCCTTTTGGCGCATGCGGGAATTGAGCATGGCAGCATCCCGCGCCTCAGTTAGCTTTCGAAGGTTAAATTTAACGTGCTCGTCCAATTTAATTTTACCTAGAGGCGCGGGGATCTGCAGCTGTGCCCGAACAGGTGGGTCATGTTCGCGACCATACATGAGAAAGAAGGGTGAAAATCCCGTGGCAGCATGGGGGGCCAATCGATATGCTGCCAGGACCCCTTGAATTTGCAAGTCCCAATTGGTCTGTGACTCCGAAACCAGGTGCGACAACATAGACGTGATGGTACGATGCAGACGCTCGACCATCCCGTCAGTTTGTGGGTGATAGGGAGAGGTACGAATCTTCTTTGTACCTAGGAGCTCACAGACTTGTTTGAGGAGGTTCCCGGAAAAATTTTTACCCTGGTCGGTCAGCAGCCGCTCCGGAGCACCTTTGTCCATGACGTAGCCTTGGACAAAGGCGTCCACGATGGCTGCTGCCGACTGATTTGCCAGGGGCCAGGCCATAGGCCAGCGTGTGAAGTATTCGACCCCTGTTAGCAAATATCTATTGCCCCTAGGGGTGGCGGGAAACGGCCCCAGGATATCCAACGCTACGAGTTCGTTCACCCTGGAGACTGTGATGGACTGCAACGGCGGGTTCGACTCCCGAGCTGGTGGTTTGCGTTGCGCACACCGGGGGCATGCTGCCAGGAGATCCGTGACATCCCGTGTCATGCCCGGCCAAAAAAAATCCAGCTGGAGCGAGGCGAGGGTCTTTTGGGTACCCAGGTGGAGGAGGCGCTCATGAGCAGCCCACACCACCTTACCCCGTAACCCCGCAGGAACTACCAGCCGGTGACGGTGGGATTTACCGTCCCAATGCATGAGCAAGCCCGCGTGTATTTCCCAATTGTCGGCATCACCCGTCCCACACCCCCTCTCCCTGGCGCGACGACGCAGCGCGAGGAGGGAGGCGTCCTCCATCTGGAGGCGTCCCCACTCAATCACAGGCAACCCAAGCAGGGAATCCCTTCCCTGTTTCCCGATCTCATCGGGGAGCGATGTGTCAACATCGGCGGCGGCCGCCAGGACTGGAACCGTCATGTCCCCAGCTGGCTTGCAACGCCCCGACCCCAGGAGGCATGCGCATTCGGAGGTGGTTGGCATGCGCGACAGAGCGTCCGCATTTGTGTGGCGAATGCCCTTACGATAGGTGGTGTCAAAATCGAAATCCTGGAGGACCTCCAGCCATCGGGACAATTGTCCCGATGGCTGTTGAACCTTCAGGGCGTACTGCAGTGCCGCATGATCCGTACGGACAGTGAAATGCTGACCGTACAGATATGGGCGGTACTGTTGGATGAAGAAAACAATTGCCAACAGTTCTCTACGGGTGACACAATATTTTTGCTCCGCTGGAGACAACACCCGACTGCCGTACGCAACCACCCGTTCCACGCCATCAACCACCTGGGAAAGCACGCCTCCGATACCTGTGTTGCTCGCGTCGGTGTCGAGCAAAAACGGCCTCGAAAAATCGGGGTAAGTCAAAGGAGGAGCCTTCACCAATGCATCCCGAAGGGAGCAGAAAGCTACTTCCTCATCCCGACCCCAGTGGAACCGAACCCCTTTTGATGTCAAAGCATGTAGGGGTTTGGCAATTGTAGCAAAATTAGCGACGAACCGTCGGTAATATGAAGCGAAGCCAATAAAACTCCTCACCTCCCCCACCGAGGTCGGAATTGGCCAGGAGCTGACACACTGCGTTTTGGCGGGATCGGTAGCAATACCCGAGCGCCCCACGATGTGCCCCAAATAACGCACTGACTCGCGAAACAAATAGCATTTTTGGGGCTTAAATTTCAAATTAGCAGCCCGCATCCTTTGGAAAACCGCCCGCAGCCTCTGGAGATGTTCGTCAAAGGTTCTTCCAAAAACAATTACGTCATCCAAATAAATCAGGCACGATTCCCATTGCAATCCAGCCAAAACCAATTCCATCAACCGCTGGAAGGTTGCCGGCGCTGAGTGTAAGCCCATCGGCAACCGGTTGAATTGGAACAGGCCGTGCGGTGTACGGAAAGCGGTTTTAGGCTTCGAATCATCGTCCAGAGGAAGCTGCCAGAATCCCGAAAGTAAATCTAGTGTGGAGAAGAATCGCGCTCCCGCCAAGGCGTCCAGCGATTCGTCCATCCGTGGGAGCGGGTATGCGTCGGCAACCGAAACCTTATTAAGGCGACGGAAATCTACGCAAAACCGCAACGAGCCATCCTGTTTCTTAACCAGGACAATCGGTGCTCCCCAAGGGCTGGTAGAGGGAGAGATAATGTCGGCGGCTAACATGTCATCGACAGCCGATTTGACATGGTCCTTTTCGGCGGGACTCAACCGAAAAGGATTTTGGCGAATAGGCGCGCTGTCACCCGTGTCAATATGGTGACGCAGCAGGTGAGTACAACCCAAATCGTATTTATTCCGACTGAAAACGTCGGAAAATTCCTTTAGCAGCGATCTAAGCCGTTGGCGCTCTAAATTGGACAGGTTCGTCGATCCCGCACAAAGCGCGTCGAGCCACCCTTCATCGCCGTCCGAATGCGGGTGCGTCCGAGCAGCAGTGTCAATGTGGTTCACGGCAGGTTCCTCGCAGGGCACCGGCGTCGCGTGAGCGAGCACAGTCCCTTGGGGAACCACTACTGTCTGCGACCCGACATTGAGGACCGCGATGAAGGGATCCTCGTCCCCCCTTACGATGGTCTGGGCCGGAATTAAATGAGGCCCATTAACCCCGGCCCTAGACGGCCCCAGCACAACACCCTGATCCCCAACACCCTTAGCGAAGGGCCTACGAAGTTTAAGAGGTACCAGCATTTGTGCCCCCGGCGGCACACGCACTGTTTTTACGACGAACGCCGGTACCGTCGCGAACGCCGTCCGAGTCGCTACAGGGGAAGGCAGGAACGCCATACGTCGCCCCGACGGAAGCTCAATGCATCCTTGGTCGATCAAAATACGAATTGGCATCCTGCCCAAGAAGTCCGTCCCCAGCAGGCACGGAACTGCCAGTGAGGAGGAGACAAAAATCGGCCCCGACAATTTGATGTCCCCGATAGAAATTTGCGCTCGAATCTGTCCCACGATGCCGAGAGAGCCCCCGTTAGCGGCATAGAAAGGGACATTAACCGGTAGCAAAGGACGGCTCTGCACCGGTAGAATATTGTAAATTAGTTCCGAAATAATTGTCGCCGATGCCCCTGTATCGACTATGATGCGTACCTCCACCCCATCAATGTAACCGACCACGGCCGACGATCCCGACGCCGCGGCCACCACGCGATGGGCCAACACGGACCACCGCTCGGGCTCGATTTGAGCCCCCGCAGTGATCCGCGCCGGTCCATCGCAGCGCCCCACCGGCCCCCCGTTCGTTACGGTGCGAGAGTGTGCGACAGGTGGGTGCGTTGGCCAAACATGTGAGGTGCCGCGACTCGCCGGATCATGGTGCTGGAGCTTGGGAGGAGGAAGAGGAGGGCCGGCGTCCTGTCGAGGCGTCGTCCCCCGCTGTCGAGGAGAACGGCACCCCGAGGCGACATGGCCCCGGATGCCGCAGTTGAAGCACCGCGGGAGCGCCGATGGAGACGATGGACGGTCGAAACGCCTCGGCCCGTCCCGACCCGGCCGCGCCCCCGTCGTCTGTTGCCGTCGATGGTCGACGGCATAAAGTTCTTCTGACGGAAGGGTGGCTGCAGCCACCGCACGCCCAGCCGATGCCCTGTTTGCCTTTCGCCGCTGCTGCAGAAGGTTGGCGTGGAGGAGTCGCGCAGCCTGGAGGGAGGTCATTTCTGCATCCCCTTGTGCGATGACGACGATGTCGAGGTCGTCCGCCAAGAGGAGGATCTTCTCCGCGACCATTGCGTCCACGCCGTCGTCGTCCATGCGGGGAAAGGCTGTTTTTGCCAGCGCCAGAAGACTTGTCCGGAAAGCCAGAGGCGACTCTTTTTCACCCCGCCTGCGATCGTAGAACTGCTGACGGCATTCGGCTGAAGGTCCATAGACCCCGGCCAGCAGCTGTAGCGCCATTGGTAGTGTAGCCCGCTTCTCTTTTGGCGCCGACGTGAGTGCGGCGAGCGCGTCCCCATCGAGGAGCGCCGGCAGCGCGCAAAGGGCCTCCTCGTCGGACCACCGCGCCATCTCCTGATGGGCGAGGAAGCGTCGCCGGAAGCCGCCCCAGTCACCCTCCGCACCGATGAATTCCTTCAGCGGGGGCAGCCTTTGGTGAAGCGCAGCGGTCGATGTGGACTCCCGCAGGTTGCTTTCACCTCCCTTTGGCGGTGCCTCGGCGCGACTGGCCGATGGCATCGCCTGTCGCGGCAGCGATGACGCATCCTTCGGCTGCGATGACGCTGCAGCCCCGGCGACGGCGATGTCGGAGCCGATGTCTAAGCTGGCCACGCCCCGAACAGCCGCGGCGTCCATGGCGGGAAATTCAAATTGTGAAGTCGCTGAAATGGCGGGAAAGTGCTCCGGCCGCCGGTTCTCCTCGCCCTGCGGTGGACCACCAGCCCCCAACCGCGTAATGCCTTCCAGTGTGGCGGCAGCGGCATAAAGTAGCTCCGCCAGCCGTTCGTGAGCCAGTCGTAGTGCATCTGGCTGCGGCCCCTCTCCATGCTGACGTCCCGGTGAGAAGGCGCCAGGCTCCGGCTGCACCCCATCTTGTTGCTCTGTCTCGGGCTCGGCGATCTCCGCGGCGTCCTCCTCTTGTGGTACCCTGGTCCGAGCTGTATGGCGCGTTTCCATTTTTACCACTTCTGACGCCAGATGAAGTACCCGTCGAGGACGCTTGACAACGGAGTTGAGGCACACGTATATTTATTTAACAAGTTGCCAGTACAGGACAGCCCTAGAGGGGGTAGCGGCCCCCTCACCCGTATAACTCAGGGAACACCCCTAGCTATCCATAGCCTATCCCCTGAGTCCTCCACTAAGAGCTAGGGGAGGCTGTCTGGCCCGACACTGGTAATCGGGCTCGGTACCCGGAGTCCCAGAGCACTGGCTCTGGTTCACGGGACCACGCCACTGGCTCGAGCCTGATCCCGTGGGGCCCTGATAAGGGCGGCGATCAGGGGGAGTCCAGGGCTCTAGCTACGACGTCTTCCGACTTCTTAGCTTAACTATAACATAACTGCCTAAGCCCATATAACGACCCCTTTTTATACCCAACCCTCCTTGAGGGGTGGGGCCCCGGGGGATCGTAACGCCGAACCAGCCCCCCCCCAGGGTGTCTGGCTCGGACGTCGCAGAGGGCATCTCCCTGTGCACACACGTAGCCCCGCCCACTGTGTTTCTTTCCCATAGGCTGCCATGCATAACGGCCCTCTCTCCAACATCCCTACACTTGCGTGCTTGCGTGCTTGCTTACGACCGTGCAATTCTTTCGGTCGTTTTTTAACCCACTTCCCGTGATCCAATCGAGCTGACATTTTCCACACAGACTCGTTGTGCGTGACAATTAATTTTCGCGAAATTTTTTTTGCAAAATTTTACACTGTTTAGGAATTTTAAAAAAAATATTTAATTACCAATTGCTTAATGCTGGCAGACAATCATCTGACCCATAGGTGGCAGCCATCTCAAGCCAGAGGACGAGATGACTAGCCGTCACGCATATAAAGGATTTAGAGTGAAAAACTTTGTTTTTACAGGTTAATTCTTTTTTTTGCTTATGCCTAAAAAGGATAGAAAATGGATATTATTACCCACAAACTTTGCTTTTGTGACCAAGACTTTATGTGAACGAAAGACACGAATGCACACGTTTTCCCATTGAAAATAGGTAAATTTCAGAAATATCATACTCTTTGGTTCTTTCGGTAAAGTCACGTAGGTATAAAATAAAATAAATCACGACGTTTCGGGCGCAACACAAGCGTCCGTCATCAGGTGGGAAAGCATGGTCTGCTGCTGATGCAGACTGTTTTAAAAAGGTTTGAAATGAGTGTAGCCCAAGGGTCATAAAGAAGTAGCCGGGGCTAGTGATGTTAATGTGAGAAATTAGCATGTAACTGTAAGATAGGAGAGCGGCCTCTTGACGAGGGCACCGAAGTGGCTATGTTAATGTGAGAGATTAGCATGATGCGACACAACTGCTAATCTCTCACATTAACATAGCCACTTCACATTAACATCACTAGCCCCGGCCACTTCTTTATGACCCTTGGGCTACACCCATTTCAAACCTTTTTAAAACAGTCTGCCTCAACAGCAGACCATGCTTTCCCACCTGATGATGGACGCTTGTGTTGCGATCGAAACGTCGTGATTTATTTTATTTTATACCTACGTGACTTTACCGAAAGAACCAAAGAGTATGGATTTCTGCAGTCACGAAAGCTTCAAATCAAGATCAAATCAAGATTCTAAATATCACTGTCCTGGTCACAAAAGCAAAGTTTGTGGGGGATAATGTAATATTCATTTTCTGTACTTTTGAGGCATAAGCAATTAGGAATATACACTATCCAGCAACAATAGTTTTTTGTTACACGGTGGTATCACCAGGGCTTCATTTGGCATGGGATATTTTCCAGCCCCCACAAACTCATGACCCTTGCCACCCCCCATGACCCTTCGAGTTTTCCTTGACAGTGTAGGAAGGGGGGGGGGGTCATGGAGAGGGTTGCATTCAAGGGCTGTAAATGATGGTTATTATTGTTGAAGTGTAATATTATTATATTCTTGGTTCTTTCGGTAAAGTCACGTAGAAGGGAAATAATAACATATTACAAATATAAAACAATAAAAATTCTCACGACGTTTCGACTGCAACACAAGCAATCATCATCAGGTGTGAAATCCACAGCAACAAAATCTAAAATAAAATATTATAGTTTGAGTTTACAGATGTATTCCAGTGGAATTCCTGTTTTCCACGGTGATGCACTTAATAATATTTTATATTTTCCGAATGTCAACAGAACTCAGCGTGGAAGAGTCTGCGGCTAAAGCACAGTCTATATACCTATTTCTAGAGCTCCCTCTAGCGGATATCCTTTGCTAGCAGTGATCCACGCGGTCTCACCGTGACTCATGGACAATTTGCTTCCTGCGCGCCTTTCTGCCATGATTATTCGAGGATAAACGCGTGTTGGGGGGAAATCATGAGATCCGCGCATTATAGAATCCATACATAGTTTTTATTCCTTGTTTACGGAATGTCCCATTGTCTGCATGGGGCCGTCCATAAATGACGTCACGCACCTAGGGGGGGGGGCATTTGTGACGATGTGTGACGAGGGGGGGGGGGGTGAGAAATGTGACGTCACATCAAAATGCGAAACTTTAAATAAACGTTCTACTTAATTAAATATACTTTTTAATAAATGTTTTCTCCTACAACATCAGAGTGTAGCGCCACATTAAATACGCACTACAATGACAATAGTTTAAAGCGATTTGAAGCATGTTTTATTTTTGGTTGGGGGGGCAGAGCTTTGTGACGTCATATTTGAGGGGGGGGGGGTCTGACTTTTTGTGACGCCGGGTGACGATGGGGGGGGGGGGTCAAAAACCGTCCAAAATCGCGTGACGTCATTTATGGACGGCCCCCATGCCGCATGCTGCTCTTGACGCGTGGTGCGTGTGGGATTGTGGGACGTTGTGTGTGCGCGTGTGTTGTCTGTGTGTTCACCGCGTGCCGTGACGCAGGCCGCGTGTTTCTCGTGGAGCTGTCTCAGAAGGAGACGGGATGGTGTGGACACCTCCGCGTGGGACTCACGCGTTTGTGTCCCGGAGGAAGCGACGGTCTGGGATGTCCCGTGGGTTCAGGTGAGCAGTGTTCATTTCCTGACAATATGTTTGTGTTTTAGGCTCGTTGAGGGCAAACTAAAATATTCGGAAAGTCTTAGTCTGTGGATCTCATTGCGTCGTTCTCTTAGCCTTCGTCGACTAACGCAGTTAAACATGAAGTCCACTCTTGGTGATGAAATGTTGGTGTGAGGTACTACGTCGAAAAAAGCTTGATTCTGGGAATTCAGGATAGATGACGACCCGAATTGCCACTCATGTTAACCAGAAATGCAACATCGGTCACTGCATTCATGGTGCAGTACGGGATCAGTTGCACCATCAACTTCATTATGTCAACGTTATATTTAAGATTACAGCAAGACCACGTGAGATCTGGCCTCTTGTTTAACGCCTTACGAAGCTGGGTGTAATCTCCAGTAAAATGTATGCAATTGTCTAAATCTTACTTGCTTTTCAACGTACCGGTTTGTTGAAAGACAAAATCAATTGCTACCTTTGTTCACATGACAACTTGATTTGTTGGGCCCTGTCGGGTGGTGGGAGGTTACAGCTCAAATTGACCTCATACACGATCTAACCCAAGAGAAACCGATCATGAATTAACGTTACATTTAGTTCATTCTATTGTAATGCTCGTTTAGCACCGTCTCCCTCCACCACAGTGACTACTCTCTCCGTGTGTGTGTGTCTCCCTTCCGGCTCAGCAGAGCAGAGTGGCACCCGGCAGTGCACCCACAGCAGGCACGGCATGCATGGCCCCGCACTGCCGATCCCCGTCCCCCCGCACGCCTCTCCCGAGATGGAGGCCCTGGGGGGCACGTGGGTGGTGCCCATCAGCACGGGGCTGGGAGCGCAGAGAGAGGCAGACGCACTGCTCGGGTAACCACCTCGTGCACAACCACATCATCCACCCTGGCGTTGCCACCTGTCGGGGTTTTTGCCAGAACGTCCGAATGACGTGGTAGCTGTCCTGGTGTGATTTGTAAGTGTGCTGCAGATGTTAAAGTCTTGCTTTTTGTTAGTCGCATGCATAATCATGCACTGGTCAAGACAATGCATTTGGATGTAGTTATTCCCACTTGTAAGATACACTTACAATAGTTGTAAGATACGGTAATTTTGTTCCCATAATATGACCTGATTTTTGTTTTGTGCCTCGGTGGTAACCCTCATCCACCTGTAACGAATCGCCCCCTTGTGGCCGATTAATTGTTTTTGATTCCATTCAATAACTGTTTTTATTGTAACCGCTGACTGTGGAGCACTTGCATTCGTGTCTCTCGTAGCTGTCGGGGGGGGGGGGGGGTGACATATTTGTTACATCATGTACAGCCCCTTTTCTATATCCACTGCTGGATGAATGCCTCCCCACGCTGTGTGGGTCGTGAGTAATGCACACGAATTTAATGTTCATTGATGCTCATGCATCAATTGTGAGCGCAATAATGGATTTTAATGGGTGAATCGATGCAGTGGCCCAAAGCCCTGACCCATTTGATCGTGTTGTGTCTCTTGAGCAGGTTTACAAAGCAGAAGTTTATTTCCTGTTAAAAAAAACTCCATACACACCTTTGCTGTAGCAGACAGACAAATGCGGCGTCCACACAGGGCCACCACCCCCCATGCCTGAACCCACACTGGAGTTTCCATGAGCTTCTCTGCAGCGTGCCTGGCAAGACACGCACGTACATGACGCTGTTTTAGTAGGTTACTACATTAAGAAGGAATGTTGCACGTTGCATACCGTACAGCCGGATTAAGAAGTCTGCACAGTTACTCAGAACCTTACTGAGAATATTCCGCCACCAACGTGTGAGTTTGCAGTTCTGCATTACTGTACAAGATAGTCTATGTGCAGCACTGTCATAGCTTTATATGACATTTTGTCATTTTGGAAGATCATGGGTAAAATATGAATCAGAAATTATCTGAGAAAAGTATGTTCTTCCATGTAAAATTGTATTCTTTTTTCAGGCCATTGGCACGGCATGCTCCATGCCATGTTGTGGTCATGCCTTGCGTGGTGCGCACGAGACAACATTTATTGTTGATGTCTGGTCAGAGGCATGGAACACAGAGCTAGCTCCTCAGCTTCACCTACCCGCTTTCAACTAGCAGTGGCTTGGCAACACGACTGCACTAGTGCTGAGTTAATGGAGTGTATATTTATAAAGCTGCGTGTAATTTCAGCGAAAGTGACGGAGAAGGAGACATTGTGAAGGTTGGCAATCATGTGATCGTAAGGGACTCCTTGGTGGGTCGGAGCAGAGTGGGCCGCTACAGCCACTTATTGGATCCACTTTTCAAGGTGACGTTTTACACAGGAGAGCGAGTATATTTTTAAACACACCACTCGCTCAATTATTCCACACTACTCCTACGCACAGAGTGATACTGCGGAGTAAACTATGTTGGGATGTGGCCACTCGAATTTAGGCACATAGGTCTGTGTTTAGACACATAACACATTCAATCTTGTATTCAACACGACTATACACAGAGCACGTAATGCTTGGAGTACAGCATTGGGAGGTGACTGGGTGACTTAGGGGTCAAGAGCCATACGCTGGCACTGCTAAGATTCTGAGCTGGAATCCAAGCAAGCATCTGTGATTAAAATGGATTCTCATGTGCAGCAAGTTGATATTCTCAGTGTTTTCACCAATGACTGCACAAAACCCATCATGTTAACTTCACTTAATTTGGCCTATTCCAGCTCTGACGCTTAAAAAATGTGGTGTGATTGACGTAAAATGATACATATTTGCAGTATGTTAAAAGGCACCGCCCTTACTGGTAACAAATTGATGTTACCCGATGCCATGTGACATTACTTTTGCTGGGAAAATATGCAAACACAGCATCGTGGAAGCGAAGTAATATTTTTAATCAACTCAAATAACTTTTTTTTCAGATTATCTAAAATGTTTTCAGATATTACGGATTAATCCACAATCCGATAAATTAATCAAAATCCTTAAACTCGAATAGCATGCCTACACATCTATACTAATGTATCAGTGCTAAAAAGCAGTGATTCTCACACTTGTGAAATGTGTGATGATGGCTGCTGCCAGTGGACAACGTGGCACGCACGACAAATATATATCGTGCCAAATGCGTAGGCTTCGAGTCATATGTTGCGATACTGGATATGTCCGTGTGATAGGCCTGCGTATATAGGTTCAAAATAGTGCTAATAAAAAAATTAAGCGGACTCGAATGTTCCTAAATTACACACCGGTTGTGACATTGTTTCACAACTAAACAGAGCATTTTTTTAAACTACTGCACACAATTGCATTTTCATGCAAAACCAGCATTTGGTGGCTTACAGTTGTGCTTACACAAGAAGGTGATTGCTACAGCACAATTGCTGACACCAAATATTTTAATTATACGTTCTCTACTGTGGGCAGTAATTGCACACGTGGGAGGACGTAACAAAGCATGTTACTATATGTGAGCCACCATGGCCAATATTTACACCAGCAACAGGGTAGCTGTTCAATTACCGATGTGCAACAAGGCCAGTGTAGGAGTGTGCTTACACGACACCAGCACGTTCTGCTGCACAAGCGAAGTGAAAACAAAAATGTATAACATGATGGGTTGGATACGTGACGTTCTTCTATACGTGCAATTTTTCGCTGGACTCTCTCTGTGCCTGCCTTTAGAGGAAGATTCCAAAGAACACAGGATTAGATGTTACTATCCTTTGTGCAAGCACTTCCAAGAGTTCATGAACAGTGAGCCTGGTGAAATTTGGGGAGTGCATCGTCAGTAGTGAACCTTTGGTTCCTAGGGTGTTTCGGCCTTTCATACTATACACCCTCCCCAAAGGCGGCCAGCGACAGGGTGATCAATCCTACGCTTGCGTCTCATTCCCAATTAGTCATAGGAGTTGCCTTGTTGTTGATAGCCAACATCCCATGGGACTATGCATGGCAGGGGTGTCCTCCTCCCTGAGTCAAGCATTGTTGACTGCATACCTCGTGAATGCCCAGGATCGTCTTCTTTTTAAATCCTTTATATTAAGTTCACTTGCGTGCTTGCTTGCGCGCTTACGACCGTGCAAATCTTTCGGTCGTTTTTTAACCCACTTCCCGTGATCCAATCGAGCTGACATTTTGCACACATACTCGTTGTGCGTGACAATTTATTTTCGTGAATTTTTTTCCCAAAATTTTCCACTTTTTAGGAAAACAAAAATGTCATATTTAATTTAAAATACCAATGTGATAAAAATGAAACTCTTACTCAAGAAAAACAGAAATGAATAATAAAATAAAACCGATGCCATGCATATAAAGGATTTATAGTGACACACTTTGTTTTTACGGGTTAATTTTTAGCTGTTTCTTTACCATGATCATTGAGCATTTTGTACATTCCATGCCTAGCGAAACTTGTACCTGCTGGAACTGGACATTTCCAAAAGGCAAAAAACTGGCAGCTTGTCCTTTCTGCTTCATTCTAATTTGTTTTCGTGAAAACTTTTAAGTGGGCACTGAGGGGTTTGCACTTGGACACGATCGGCGGGTTGGGCACACCATGTTGGCTTTCAGCTTTGCATCATGATGCCATGGCACAAATATGCTTGGGCAAACTAGACCGGTTATGGGGACACAAGCGTGGCATTATTAATGCATCGAAAAACATGTGGAAGAGAATGACACGCACAGACAAGGATACTTTGTTTAACCGTGCAACTGTTGTGGTATGCATCACGAGTGATGAGTCACAGTTGTAAAGTTATTAAGGCCAGACTAAGGGGTGATTGTGGCCAGCACCATCCTCAGCCTTTTTTGTCTCCCCAGTCCTGATATACATGACCTCAACACACAAGGCTGTTTTTTTAGGCCGAGTCAATTTTGGGGAATTCAAATTCTAGGGACAGTTCGTAAGTGCATTTGCAATGGGATTAAAACACGAGGTGCACTGGAATAACCTGATAACAACTACCATTGTGGCAGACAGTTGCGTGGCAATGATCCAAGCAAATAAATTAATGAAAGCATGAATGAGCATTTCAAGAATGAAATGTCAGACTATTGGCAGGGGGTGGCCGGTGTTATGTGTGATGTTTTACAAAATTACGAACTTAAAGTATTTTACCGTCATGTTTCTGTATATTGTATATTTCATATAAAAAAAAGTATTTTCCCTTCCTGTTTCTCTCATTCCGCTTTCGCTTCTCCACCACTCTTCCTGTCACGAAGACTCACATCTTGTCAACGACAGCACGCGGGACTCGTATTGGCGTGATCTGGCGAATATTGGAAGGAAGATACTGGTGACAAAGAGCGTAAGCGACATACCTTATTGATGTACACATAAGTTATCTACACACACCAAACACAAGTGTACGCATGGCACCTTAATCATAACTATCAATAAATGTCCACCTTATAAAGCTGGACTCAAGTAAGACAAAACTTGGGGTAAGGTTACCTGAACATAACTAAATAAAAACTCCTTTCCAAAACACTGTTGCTGTTCTAATTATTCTGTGGGCAGCAGGATGTGGCATTTGATAGTCAATCCCCATGCATCAGTCTACCATGGACACGAGGTTTACACAAATCACGTGCCAACATTACGAAGTGTAAGCTGCCAAGTGTGACAATTGTCACGAATACAATTGACATATGTGCACGAGCAATGCCCAAGCTATATACTTATCTGTTTTTTGTCAAGAGGACATTGTAGCAAAATTCCGTTGATGCCGCCATACCCCAATATCGTTTCCTTCTGCTAGATCCTGTGCTCGTAAAGTCTACACCTGCCCTTAAAGGTTTGCTCTTACAATAAACCCCACCATCCGGCTTTAGCTTTTCCCATGGTACCACTTGGTACTACTCCAACGCCTCATCTTGAAAAGCTGCTCTCCTCCATCCTGCACACATCCCACCCATCACAACTTGATTTTTCACGTTTCTATCTACAACACTTGCCACCTATCATGATCTTCGACGTTGTTTACCCTATGCTGTCCATGAATCGACAAAAATACCGATATATATGCACACATTATCACATTGCTACGAAAAATTAGAAATTTCACACACATCCTTATTTAATTGACTTGGACAGAGGTTAAAGTCCAGAGTCTCATATCTCATTCACTGGGTGCTGAGGTACCGTATAGAGGGATAAATGATCCTTATGGTGGTACCCCGGGGTACCAAATAATACTAAATGGCCGAGGCAATTAAATATTTTATTTCTGGGACACTATTTTTTCTAGGGGTGTACTTAACTCCGCGACTTGGGGTACCAATTATTCCGAAATCAGTGCTACTCCTCAATGTCGAAACGCAGCGAGGACGATTGCGCTTAAACCCTGAACGCTCGTGGTACGCACCGTAGTGGTGCATCGCGTACAGCTCGAGACGAGTCGATTGCCGCATCGCCGACCATCAACAGACTAAAAGTGACTGCACCACGGACATTATGCGAGAGCCGGGGTACGATGGTACTCCAGGGTACCGCTATAAGGTTAAAATGTTAAAAGGATTTGTGAACATCTGTAGAATATTACAGTTGCACCGTGCACAAGCTCTGCACTGGCTGTCGGTAGGTTGATTGGCCAGAGCGGATATTTGACGGTTGGATACGCGAACTTCTACTGCACGTATATTTTTCACTAGGCTCTCTCTGTGTGCTTGTCATTAGAGGAAGGCGTCATGCACCTGCTCGTGAATGGCCGTGATCTCGGCGTCTTTGCGCGAGGGATCCCCACACACACCCCCATCTTCGCGGTGGTGGACGTGTTTGGATGCACGCGCGCCGTCACAGTCCTGCACGTGGAGTACGCCGGTGTGTGCTCCCTACCAACATTAATTCATGCTACCGTGGAGGTCCTTACATGTGTGCTGTACAGCTCCCGGAATGGTTCAGATCACTCGCCGCTGGTGTTACCCATGGCCAGGATTCGAACTCAAGGAGACGGGTCCTTAGAGAAGAGTGCTAAACACTTCGCCTCCACTCAACGCCATGAAACAACCTCAGGAAATATGATTTGATTAATCTCCCATTTCTTTTTGGGTTGTATCGCCATAACCAACGTCAGTAGCGAGTGATATTTGAACTGGTTTTGTGTTTCCCCCTCGCAGCAGTATAAATGGGTACACAGTCTGGATACTCCCACCATTCGCAAGACATTTGGCCAGCGTGGATAATCAGGCTTAAAATAGTGGAGGCCCATCTGTCAGTAGTGGCGTGAACAACCAATTTCAGGGCTGCAGATGTATCTCATGGGCAGTATAAAACTATTCTATTGAGGGACTGTGGGGCAAGTGGATTCCAGATCAGGGTGTGAACCCTTAACCCCGTGGTTTTTGAGTCAACCGTCCCGACCACAGAGTCAAGCAGCTGGGTATAAAATCACGTTATAAACATTCAGCTGTTAAACACACACTGGCACAGTTAAAGAAAGTGTATTCTTATATTTGCAGCAATATTCCAAATATTTTGTATGCTTGTTTGAGAATACCTTCATGTTTAGTAAATAAAGGACTTATATTTGCACTTAATAACCTGTAGTCTGTACAAGCTTAAGAGCATGATAATTGCACATGCACTGTCGCATGACTGGCCGTGGTGTGTGTCTTTGTCTGTGTGAATCCAGTTCCATCCCTGCAAACCATCTGCCGACGGATGATCCAAAAGTTGACCGTGAACAGACTCGCAATCTCCCGTCTGGGTCTGCCCGCAGCACTCCAGTGCTATTGCCAGGAATGATCACTTTTAAAAACCATAAGTGAGATATAATGTAATTTATAAACATGTTCGTGCTTTTAGTACAAATTAAAGAGTATTTTTTAAATATCGCCAGCACGTTGAGTTTTTATGTTGTACATACATGCTGTAAATATTCAACGCAGACCAGCCACTTGTGTGAAGACCTCACACGAGGTCCTTGGTGATTGTTGGGTAATTATTGAATAACATGTAACAAAACCCCACTACCTCTACTGAGATAATTTGTGGAGCACAAAAAATATCATCAGCCATGATAAATCCACTGCTGGATGAAGGTCTCCCCAAAATTACAATCTCAGTACCCATAAAAGTGATGTTTAAATGATTGCTGGGACAATTATATTATCCGTTTTTCGTACCTATTTGATGCCACAGATATTAATACCATTCCAGTAACGTAAAACTTAAAATAAAGTGAAAATCCTTTTGTCTGGGGTGATGCCGAGGATGAACTAAATTGATCTGCGAAAAAAAACACATCGCGAACAAGATGAATGTGTCGATGAATTCCACTTATCCGCCAAAAAAATGTCGCGAGAGGGATGATGACGTTGAAATTAAAGTCGCGAAAAAGGTAACGAGATCAATGTGCTTAAGTCTGGCCAAATGGCCCCCACGACTTGCACAGGGTGAAGAAGCCCTCATCCAGCAGTGGATTAAAGGCCAGTGCGTGTGTGATATGCGTGTGTTACACGTGCGACTGTCAACATAGTGTAAAAGCGCAGTCCTTAACTCTCACCCACTCTATCTCTCTGGCTCATGTGCTATGTAGAAGGGCCATTGCCCGAAACGTCGCCTATTATATACAATACTACAAGTATTCATTTTCAAGGAAGTGTTATTGACGAATGTGTGGAGTTCTTGTTATTCGTGCACCTGCGGTATTAACACCGCACGCACTGCACGCGTGCTTCCCCCCGCTCTTCCCGTGGGACTCCTCCCATGTGTTAGACTCCTCCATCTTCTTGGTTCTTTCGGTAAAGTCACGTAGAAGGGAAATAATGAAATAATATAAATATAAAACTATAAAAAAATTTAATTCTCACGACGTTTAGACTGCAACACAAGCAATCATCAGGTGTGCAATAACATTTTCTTTGCTGTGGATTTCACATCTGATGATGATTGCTTGTGTTGCAGTCGAAACGTCGTGATAATTTTTATATTTATAATATTTTATTATTTCCCTTCTACGTGACTTTACCGAAAGAACCAAGAATATGAATCCCTGCAGTCACGGAAGCTTTAAATAAAAACTCCTCCAGTCCGTGAGACTCCTCTCAGCCCGTGAGACTCCTCCCATCTCGTGAGACTCCTCCCATCTCGTGAGACTCCTCCCAGCCCGTGAGACTCCTCCCATCTCGTGAGACTCCTCCCATCTCGTGAGACTCCTCCCAGCCCGTGAGACTCCTCCCATCTCGTGAGACTCCTCCCATCTCGTGAGACTCCTCCCAGCCCGTGAGACTCCTCCCATCTCGTGAGACTCCTCCCAGTCCGTGAGACTCCTCCCATCTCGTGAGGCTCCTCCCATCTCGTGAGACTCCTCCCATCTCGTGAGACTCCTCCCAGTCCGTGAGACTCCTCCCATCTCGTGAGGCTCCTCCCATCTCGTGAGACTCCTCCCATCTCGTGAGACTCCTCCCATCTCGTGAGACTCCTCCCATCTCGTGAGACTCCTCCCAGCCCGTGAGACTCCTCCCATCTCGTGAGACTCCTCCCAGTCCGTGAGACTCCTCCCATCTCGTGAGGCTCCTCCCATCTCGTGAGACTCCTCCCATCTCGTGAGACTCCTCCCATCTCGTGAGACTCCTCCCAGTCCGTGAGACTCCTCCCATCTCGTGAGACTCCTCCCATCTCGTGAGACTCCTCCCAGTCCGTGAGACTCCTCCCATCTCGTGAGACTCCTCCCATCTCGTGAGACTCCTCCCATCTCGTGAGACTCCTCCCATCTCGTGAGACTCCTCCCAGCCCGTGAGACTCCTCCCATCTCGTGAGACTCCTCCCAGTTCGTGAGACTCCTCCCATCTCGTGAGGCTCCTCCCATCTCGTGAGACTCCTCCCAGCCCGTAAGACTCCTCCCAGCCCGTGAGACTCCTCCCATCTCGTGAGACTCCTCCCATCTCGTGAGACTCCTCCCAGCCCGTGAGACTCCTCCCATCTCGTGAGACTCCTCCCAGTCCGTGAGACTCCTCCCATCTCGTGAGGCTCCTCCCATCTCGTGAGACTCCTCCCATCTCGTGAGACTCCTCCCATCTCGTGAGACTCCTTCCATCTCGTGAGACTCCTCCCATCTCGTGAGACTCCTCCCATCTCGTGAGACTCCTCCCAGCCCGTGAGACTCCTCCCATCTCGTGAGACTTCTCCCATCTCGTGAGGCTCCTCCCATCTCGTGAGACTCCTCCCAGTCCGTGAGACTCCTCCCATCTCGTGAGACTCCTCCCATCTCGTGAGACTCCTCCCATCTCGTGAGACTCCTCCCAGTCCGTGAGACTCCTCCCATCTTGTGAGACTCCTCCCATCTCGTGAGGCTCCTCCCATCTCGTGAGACTCCTCCCATCTCGTGAGACTCCTCCCATCTCGTGAGACTCCTCCCATCTCGTGAGACTCCTCCCATCCCGTGAGACTCCTCCCATCTCGTGAGACTCCTCCCATCTCGTGAGACTCCTCCCATCTCGTGAGGCTCCTCCCATCTCGTGAGACTCCTCCCATCTCGTGAGACTCCTCCCATCTCGTGAGACTCCTCCCATCTCGTGAGGCTCCTCCCATCTCGTGAGACTCCTCCCAGCCCGTGAGACTCCTCCCATCTCGTGAGACTCCTCCCAGCCCGTGAGACTCCTCCCATCTCGTGAGACTCCTCCCATCTCGTGAGACTCCTCCTATCTCGTGAGACTCCTCCCAGCCCGTGAGACTCCTCCCATCTCGTGAGACTCCTCCCATCTCGTGAGACTCCTCCCATCTCGTGAGACTCCTCCCAGCCCGTGAGACTCCTCCCATCTCGTGAGACTCCTCCCATCTCGTGAGACTCCTCCCATCTCGTGAGACTCCTCCCAGCCCGTGAGACTCCTCCCATCCCGTGAGACTCCTCCCATCTCGTGAGACTCCTCCCATCTCGTGAGACTCCTCCCAGCCCGTGAGACTCCTCCCATCTCGTGAGACTCCTCCCATCTCGTGAGACTCCTCCCATCTTGTGAGACTCCTCCCAGCCCGTGAGACTCCTCCCAGCCCGTGAGACTCCTCCCAGCCCGTGAGACTCCTCCCATCTCGTGAGACTCCTCCCATCTCGTGAGACTCCTCCCAGCCCGTGAGACTCCTCCCAGCCCGTGAGACTCCTCCCATCTCGTGAGACTCCTCCCATCTCGTGAGACTCCTCCCAGCCCGTGAGACTCCTCCCATCTCGTGAGACTCCTCCCATCTCGTGAGACTCCTCCCATCTCGTGAGACTCCTCCCAGCCCGTGAGACTCCTCCCATCTCGTTAGACTCCTCCCATCTCGTGAGACTCCTCCTCTTTCTCGAGGCTCTTCTACTCACGGGCTCTGATTACTCAGCCTCCTTCACAGGCGTGAGACCCTTCCCGCCAGCGCGCACTTCGCGTGGCCGCTTCGGTGGCGATCATCATTACCCAGGTGAGCACAGCTCCTCATCCTCCTCCTCATCCTCCTCCTCTACCATCATCATCATCGTCGCCTGCGCTCTCAGTCATCCAGCAGTGGAGCTGTGCGCGCCGCCTGCTTGTCGGTGCTGACAACACCAACACCACCAACACATTCTCGCGACCTTGTGGCACGAGAGAACACAATGCACACCGTGTTTGGTGGCGATGTCAGGAATGTTGTTATAAGATCACAAGTTGGCCAGGTTCTAGTTCGTTTAGCGACACAGATCTCCTCTCATCATCATCATCACGGCTTCACTCGTCCCCTTCATCGTCATCTCTTGAGCCAGGGGTGGAAATTACACGTTACTATGCCGGGGTCACTTTGCTGCCCAGAGTTCAACTTTAATTGCCGTACACCCGGTGGTTACTGATTGTGTTGGATTTGAATTTTTAAATAAAAATAGGAAAGCGTTTGAATCGCTTTTGGGGATCGGTTACATAAACACAACTTTTAACATCTTTCAGGTGAAAGAACATTGCGAGAATGTTTATTGCTAAGAATTGCCGAGGCATGCAAGTGGTGGCCACTCTATTCTGCGTCAGTGGTGATTGTGAGAGATATCGTCAGAGTCCAGCAGCCTGTTCATACACTTGTATTGATTAGTCAATCCATAGCCACCCCTGTGAGTGTGCGAGTGTTGTAGGTCTGGTGCAGCGGTGTGGAAACATCGCCACGAGGGAGACAAAGGCGGCCGGGCGTGGTGCTGGCCACCCCCCCCCCCCCTCGCTAAGAACACTTTGCCCCTACAGTCTTTTAAAGGCGATACGGGTTGGTTATTTGCATTGTTTAGAATGTTATTTCGTGAACCCAGTAACCTGTGTGTGTGTGCAGTGTGGAATGTGAGTGTGCATTCAAAGTGCCGCTTCAACTCTTCGGTGTTGCATGCGAAGTTGGAGTACAACCACGTGGTTGCCCCCCCCCCCCCCCCCACGTTTAGAAAGGAACGAAACTTCGTTCCCATGCAGCCCCATTAGGTTGCCCACTTGCTGGGCAGCAGTCAGTCCTTCACTGTCGGCTATCACCAGGGACCATTTGTTGCGGATGTTTCTTTGCCGTTCGTCTCCGTTCTCACGTCTCTTGGACTCCCACGAGGCCATCCTTCCCTACTCGTGTGCTGCCATCGATATTCACGGATTTCTGTTTGGTGGCATCTTCACCTGCTGCCTCCGTGCGGGTCAAAGGTTACGCACGAAGTGAAGCTCCGCGTGATCCTGGGCCATTCCACCTTTTTTGCGTGCTGTGCCAGTCGTAGTAGGCGCTCGTTAGCAACGTTTTACTGGTAGGAACCACCTGGTTCCACCAGCCCACAGGGGATTATTGTGTCCGTCCGTCGTGCATCAAACATGGGAGGGGCTGGGTGGGGTGGGGAGGGGCTGGGTGGGGAGGGGCTGGGTGGGGCTGGGGTTGGGAGTGGGCTGGGTGGGGAGGGGCTGGGTGGGGAGGGTGGGGCTGGGTGGGGAGGGGCTGGTCACCCCGTGGTGTCCTTATAAAACTCAACGTTTAATCTACTCACGCCGGCTTGTGCCCGCCCTCACAGTCGGGCATATTTGCGGAATACACCACGCCGCCATTGACCCTGGCCATTGACCGAGCAACCCAACGTTCCTACCAGCTCCCTCCGCAGGAATGTGTTCCTCAGCAGTCTGTGCGAGGCCATAGGGGGATCTCTGTGCGTGTGTGGAGTCTAGGCATGTCGACACTTGGTGGTGTGACGGCTCGGTGTGGGAGGTGTGCCAAGGCAGTCTACCAGGCGGAGGAGGTGATCTGCGATGGACAGCGCTACCATCGCCTCTGCTTCCGTTGCTGTGAGTTTCTCTCCCCTGTGGTAAAATCGCGGTATGACAAACACCACGCGCACGTTGCGTTTGAAAGGGGACAGCACAAAGACAACTCTGACTGTTATCCAGCCGTGACTGGACAATGTCTAGTGACGGTGGTGCTTAGTCAAATATTGACTTTGAACTTGATAATGGAGGTTGTTCAGGTGGCACAGAGGTCAGAGCTCTGAGTCGGCTTTACTGCTTCAAATATGGATTTCTAGTTTTCAGCCGCCCGTGACTAAACTGGATTCTCAAGTTTAGAAAGTTGGCGTATCTTGCATGAGACCAACGACACACTAAAGACATCATAAATGCGAGAATAGAATGCAATATCATGCATTTTTGGATTCATATCATGTCTAGATGTGTCTGTACCTCAATACCCTGTATGGAAACAGTGGGCATGTTTATTTTAAATAAAGAGGCTGTCATATGCAGAAGCATAAGTAATATTTAAAAATACTTTGTTTAAAACACGCTTTAATGAAATGCACAGTACGATTAATGGCAGAACTCCACGACTCCAGGAAGTGGCCCCGAGGCTTGCCATAACGTAAGGGGCCGTGGTGATTTACAGCCAACGTCAGTTGAGCGTGGACAATTAGACCCAAGCTGAAACACAAGAGATAAAAATGCATGTTTAAAAATATATATTTTTTATGATAGAATATAGTATTGTCATCAGTATGACATAAGTATACGAAGTTTGCAATCGATACCACATTGGGAAGTGGGTTAAAATTGAGTTATAAGATTTGAGATACGACCACGACGACAACGACAACAACAGACAGAGTGAGTTAAATAAAAGCGTGTAATAAAAAGGAAGGTCATGAATCTAACTTTGGACAGGGGCATGGATGATTGGGGGGAAGGCAGTTCTAGACAATAAGGCCAGCATGGAGAATTCGTGAGTACAATGCTAATATTTTGGATATTCTGTATGGTATTAAAACGTAGTAGGACAGTGCGTACATTTGTGATTTGTTTTGAAAAAAAACATCCACTAAGAGAGCTTGTATTCTCAAGACAAGTAGAGATCTTAGAAGATCTTATTTTTTTGCTATTTATTATGAGTGCATTGAAATGGAAATGGCACTAATAACAAACACTACATCATGAAAATTTTAAAACTCCATCATTTGTGTAAATGTGCTGGTTAATCTTCAAAGTGGAGTTTCTCAGTCACAAGAGGAACGAGGTAGATCGATTAAGGAAGGCCACTCGTGGACCGCTAATCAATGAAAAGCCTTAATACGACATGGTAAAGTGAGACAAACGATTCGAATTTGACCAAAAACGATGCATGGGAGAGATGTCAACACAATGGTTGACGATAGGCAGGCAGGGTGAGCGTGATGAATGGTATCAATTGCAGCATTAGTTGAATAGAACAAGAGGGAAAAATGCCAAGGTTAGATGAGACGAGGTCATTAAGAGCACAGAGAGGGTTACTGATATCATGGCCAGTGTGGTGAGCAGATCGCCCAGGGGCAGAAAGACTGCATAGGGTTAACAGAAGTAGAACAGGTCAAGAAGGCCACATATAAAAAAATAGGAGGTCTAAGTCAAATGTATTTATTCTGTATCGTTCTCTAACATGTGTTCAGGCTGTACAGCTGTGGTAAGCAGATTAAACTGTCACATCAGGTTTTTGAGATATCAAATATTTTCGATAAAAACTGCAGAAGAAAAATATTAAATAAATGTGGATATCTACATAAAATGATATTATAAACACACTATCCTAAAAATACAGCACCATATTTTAACACTAAAGCTGTCACTGACTCACAACAACTTGCAATCATAAGTGACAGAGTTAATTTCGGGTAAAATCAATGAAAATGGGATATGCCGATAGCATAAAATGAGATGTGATAGAGCAAATCTGAGATCAGATTTGGAATCAGCACCCTGAAATTAGTCTAAAACAGCTGCAAAAGTGCAGGCCAGAATTTTTTTTTGACCAGTGAATTATTCAACAAAAGAGACGTGCATACGAAAGAACAGCGCTTCTTTCCCAAAAAGTGGAAAACGTCGGACATGGTGCTGCACAGCACTGCGGAAACACATCGGAGAGCTGTGCAGTGAATCTTGACTTGAAGCTTTCTTGACTGCAGGAATTCATATTCTTGGGTCTTTCGGTTAAGTCACGTAGATTTTCTTTGAACCTATCTACGTGACTTTACCGAAAGACCCAAGAATATCTATGCAATAATTTACCACATTTGCAGTGGCAGCTGGCTCCAAGAGTGCAGAGCAGGGTGTTGTCTGCAATGTGTGCACTGTCTGGGATTACACACAGTGCAATTTTCACAGGCTTTCTAGTTAATTTTGTCTAATGAGGCATTGCAATGTTTTGCCATCTCAGTGTGCTGCTGAGAACTTCATTGCAAAGGTGTGCCTACGTGTGCACACACAATCACCCCATTGAAAAAACTAAAAACATTGATTTAAAATCCTGCTTTGCATAGGAATCTGTGTTTAAAAGAATGTTGGTGTTTGGCTCATTTGTAGAAAAAAGTACTTGATGGGAACCCCTACCTGTGCAGTTTATATCTATTACCACGTCCACAATTGTAGCCAGTCGTAGATTCTCACCGATATCGAGTGAACCGGCCAAGTTGTATTGCACAAGCACTTGGCTTGTGCCAAGTTGGATTGTATAATGAACGTACAGTGTGCAGTAGTAGCCATGCGCATGATGCAGGCAAACTTCCTCGTGTGTGTACCGCCACCGATGTTTGTATACACACCTACACCTTGGTGAATGCCTTTCTCACTGGAAAGCTCAACCAATGCTAAAGCTCATCTTATCACAGGAAATCATGGATACCAACAGTGGATGAATTCTAAGTGATCACCCCTTCTCTTTTATAGGCACGCATGTCAGTCAGTGGTCGTTCTGTTGATCAGTTGGACACTTGCGGATAACAGAATAAATTATCCTTATGCCGATACCCCGGGGTACCAAATAATACTAAATGGCCAAGACAATTAAATATTTTATTTCTGGGACACTATTTTTTCTAGGGGTGTACTTAACTCCGCGACTTGGGGGGTACCAATCAATACGAAATCGTTGCTACTCCGCGATGTCGAAACGCAGCGAGGACGATTGCGCTGAAACCCTGAACGCTCGCGGTACACACCGTAGTGGTGCATCGTGTACAGCTCTTCGAGATGAGTCGATTGCCGCATCGCCGACCATCAACAGACTAAAAATGACTGCATCACGGACGTTATGCAAGAGCCGGGGTACCGCCATAAGGTTCATTTGGATAATAGGGCTCTGGTTACAAGGGGTTTCAATGAGTACACGGTATTGTGAATGCAATAGTGGATATGGTTAAGAGTTGTAGCGATGAATAATATCCTTCGGATGTGGCTGGTGGCTCATGAGTGAGAAGGATGAGATTAAAGATACAAATATACTGATATGTTTGTATGCCCAGGACACTTAAGCTCAGTAATTCAACTGAATCCATCATGCGGAATGAATGAGGGCTGTGTGCTCTACTTGAGCGCTGTACCACAAGTGGGAGATGTGTGATATTATTGAGGGAGGGACACTCAGGAGTGGAAGAAGTACTCTGAATTGGCTGCGCAAAGTGGGCACGCTGAGTGTGCACGCTGAGTGCGCACATTTTCCACAATGAGTATGGCCAAGTTGGTTCATTGCGTAACAACTTTTCATAATCTATTCTTTACATATCTCACGCTTTTTCCGGAAATGAAGTACATCGAAACAAACTCGTGCAATGGACGTCGGAGTCACATGTCTCACTCTCGTCCTGTGTGTGCGCCTTGCGCGGATGCAGCCGTGTGCCGAAAGGGCTTGGACAGCACGACGCTGGCTACGCACGGGGATGAAATCTTCTGCCGTTCGTGCTACGGCAAGAAGCTGGGCCCCAAGGGCTACGGCTACGGACAGGGAGCGGGAGTCCTGAGCACCGATCGCGGGGAGCGCCTGGGCATCCGCCCCGAGGAGTGAGTACCAGCGCTCACCATTTAAAAAAAAATAAAGACTCCACGTATGTTGTCAGTTTTGTTGTATGGTGCGGAGGCCTAGACATTGGTTCAAGCAGATTTTGATCAGCTGTTGTCCTTCCACATGCAATGCCAAAGACACCTTCTTGGCATGCGATGGTTCGACTTCGTCAGAAATGTCACCACTGCATCTGCGACCGGTTTTCTAGTGACCGACAGCTTAGTTCGAGGGAGACGACTGTCACTTTATGGACACGTCGCCCTGTCTTGATGTGCAAACTCCAGCAAATTTCGCACTTCAGTTAGAGGACTGCGACCCTCAAATGAACGGTGCCGCCCTGTGGTCACTTCTGTGTTCGCTCCTGTGATCCGTGGATCAAACAAATTACTCAAGACGCCGGTGTATGACAGGAAGAGCGGTTTATGTGAATGCTGTCACAAGAGGTCACACTTCACGGACTATGCGTGATAAATGAATATGTTGATCCCAATTGTCATATGAGAAATACATTCCTGGGTACATCCCCTTACATTGGTGGTTGCCCAGATTGAGATGGACACAGGCCTCTTTGCTCAGGAGGCATCGACTGCTGCGAGTGACTGGCTGGGGTGGAGGGTGCTTTGGACCCTTTGCCGGTCAAGCGTTGACAGGAGTAGTTGTAGGAGGTGTGATGAAAACTATTGACAAGCGCTCCTGATTCATCGTCACAAATCTATGTATGTATAACGATTCGAAATAGTTGCCCTATCCATGGAAGCTGAAGAGAAGGCCCTTACATCTGTTGATGCCGAGTTGTTCTCGGCGTGGCGAGTCCCCGCACTCCGACAGTCGACACCGCTCACCCAGCTCTTGAAGTGGTTTCTCCGCACTCCCAACAGTTGATAGAGCCCTCTTCAGGGCTCTGGGTGTGGCGTGTCACCCCCACCCCACTCCAGCAGTAGAGACTGGACCCACACCTGTCAGCACATCACACTCAGCTCCAGGTACAGCACTCGCAGCTTCTAGGGCTGCACTGCTTGAGGCTATCGCAGCCCTGGTTGTGGTCTCTCCCCACTCAAAAAGTAGATCAGGCCCTCTTGCTGCACTCAGTGTGGTTGGTCCACACTCTTGCAGTGGACCAGGCCCTCTTGCTGATTGGCTCCCGTGCTTGGCGTCCTTCTTCCATTTTACAGCCGGTACATTAGCATAATTTGGCTTCCCTACACCCATTCTCCCAAAACCGGTCCCACCAGCTATCACTAACACCATCGGGAAGCCAGGGATGTGATCCTCAACTTTCACCTCGTTACAGTATGTAGAACTTCTTTCACACCATACATAGCCAATCGTACTAATCAGTGCGGGGAAGGACAACAAGCTGGGACAGTCCTTTCTGCCCCAGTTTTTTTACTAATAGTGAGAGAAATCCACATGTTCTTCTTAAGAGACTGAAATAACAAAAGATGAACTGAGAAAACCACTGGAGCGTTATCGACTCGCTGTTCACGTATCCCTGTGACACCTGCAGAGAGGGTGAGCTCCCTTACCTTGCCAGTGCAGTGTTTGGTTACATTACTTTTGAACCCTGTCAGGCATTTACAAATAACACTTACCAAACCCTATTATTTCTGTGCATACTGAATGAGAACACTAACTCCTGCTGTTAAATGTTTCCACTCCAACATTATAATGCCTCTGATTGTGTGGACCCTTACAGTGCTATCGAAGGCTTTTCACCTTCTCATTCTTTCGCCTGTTGATGTCAAACCTGAAGTCCAGTCCTGGCGACACCTCATTTCAGAACAATCCGACATGTTCTTGCTTTGATACAATGCTCTGACACAGAACCAGCGTTCCTTCTTATCAACTGCCTTGGTAAATCATGGGGGCCTAGGTCTTAGTAGTAGGAAGATAACCTATTTTTAAAGGAGTTTAAGGTTTTTTTTAAGGTTACAATGTCAATCTCATTAACATGCCTGAAGGCACATACTGTATATCATAACTGTTAACTGATGAATGTCAAGACGGCACTGACAAGAATCATCTTGAAAGTACTGTACCACTAACGTGTGATTCTGATGAACTTATAGCAGGAAGTGAAAGCTGCCTGTCTGGCCATGCAAAGCCATGGTCGGAGAGGATTTAAAACATATTTTCTGCCTCATTCCCCTCGCACAAATAGAAAAGATGAGGCAAGACACTGTCCAATGCCCGAGTACCATAGCCTAGGTGCAGGAAGAACGCGGTGTTTATTTTGTGTAACACGTGAGGTGTGCAGTAAACACAACACTTAAGGGTCTGTGGATAATTGCACCGCTTCACTTCCTTCTCTGAAGAGAAGCTATGAGAGCAAGCTGTGCCCTGGAAACAAATTAAAATCTACATGGACGACATCACCCATTCTTAGTTAAATGATTTTTTTTTATGCAGTGATCACTCTACATTTAGCTTTGTTTTCAAAAGTCACTATAGTATTGACGTTTTTTTTATTAAATGGCTTTTGGTCTTTTTCTCCTAATGTATTCCAATTGTGTTTTGGCATAATGTCAGGGTACAAAGGATTAATTTGTAAATCTGACAAACCAGTGCACCCATCACGTATCGGGGAATGGCTGCTGAAGTGATTTTTTTTTCCACAGGACTTGTAAAAAATATATTTGAGCATCCTCTCTGTCCACTTTCCCATACACTCGGCTTTGCGATTGTTTCACATCACAGTCAAACCGATACAAAATATTTTCAGAGCTATACTTGAGCTAGATTTTATTCAATTGGTGGGCGAGTCTGCCAACTCACTGCACTTGAGAACCTGTTTTAATCACAGGTGGCTAAAACTTGGATTCAAATCGAGGCCCTTAGCAGTGCCAACTCAGCTCTCTGACCACTTGGGCCACCAGGCCACATTGCACTTGGGCACAGATCCTGAAGGCCATTGTGCATCTCCGATTAGCACGGTTGGCTACGTATGGTGCGAAAGAAGTTAAACATACATATGCATACAGATCCTAAAGGCCATTGTGCATTATATGGAGTTGCATTTTAGTACAAACGCCTAGGTTTTTTTCTGATCTGTCATTAAAATATCTGCCACATTACTGGAGATTCAGAAGTGCGGATTATCCTGCAGTTTAATTTGAGAAGCAGTGTGGTTTGACAGCGAAAAATAAAAAAAAAACCCAGAATATTTTGCTCTTGGTGTTTTGTCCATATTCTGGAACACCCGATGCGTAGTACGATTAAAATGATGGCTGTGCTTTGTTGCTTAATTATGTTGTTAGGTCAACATAAACTAAGATTGTCTGGTGGCAGATTATCCGATAGTCAGTATGCAAATGGACGTGCAATTAAGCTCAGCTGCACAATGCCATTTCGTTCTCATTTCAAAAAGCATTTCTCGATGAGCTGGAGCCACTGCGAGTCAGGCAAGTAATATGAATTAGTAACCGAGTCGGGCAACTATATGGATTAGAAACCGAGTCGGGCAAGTATATGGATTAGTAACCGAGTCAGGCAAGTATATGGATTTGTAAGCCACACTGATGGAAATGCGCCAAAAACTTTCCAGCGCCAGTATTTTTTGACTCTTACAACAATCGGAATATTTAATTATACTGACGGAGGAATCTGATGAGCTATAAAGCTCTTTTTCACAGAAGTCCAGTAGGGGCGGGTCAGAACGTTACAACAACTAACAATATAAAATCACGATAGGAGTACAAAGTATAGGAAAGGTAATCAAATCACAAAAAATTCATTCAAATAAAACTAAACTGTTATTTTACCAGGTAAAGCCCCCCACTGAACTATTCGTTTCTTTGTCAGCAGCAACCTGGCCACAAATGATAGCTCAGCGAAGTGGCTTATCATGGGGAAATGTATAGCAGCCAAAATAATCTAAATGCAAGCCAGCTGGTGCAATTAATCTTATTACATACATCTTCTATTATATTAATAAAAATGTCCAGTGAAAAATGCAATTCCAACGCATATTCAAGTAACATTGATATTATTACCAACTTCGAAGCAACACCCTGCTAACCCTGCCTAGATATCTGCCTGGAAAGGTGTATTCCACGCAAGCTAATTACCAAGTCGTGTAGAGTATGAACATTTGTAGCAAGGCATCCTCCGGGAAGAGCACAGGCTTGTAATTAACGGTGCCGCACCAGTCTGTGGGTGACCAGACCTTGTGAATTGTGTTAAATGGGCACGTGGGAATCCAACTGGCATTGGTGGTTCCTTCTCGACAACTAAATCGGCCACTATAAAGTGGAAACTTGACAGTTGAATGATTCGAATGATTCGTCTTGTATGTCCCTCTGGCTCAAGCGTGATTTTAGGGGCAGCAGGGAAGGGACGGTGCTGGCATGCTGAGCAATGGCTGGTAGATTCTGCTGTGCTGAACATCTGGCCGTTTGTGTTCATACAGGCCTGGTGCACCTCAACCTACATTCAACACCAATCCATCCCCACTGGCACGCTCCTTTGGTGGATCCGATAAATGTCCACGTTGCAGTCAGTCTGTTTACGCGGCGGAGAAGGTGATGGGGGCTGGCAAGGTACGTACAACAACAATTTATTACCTGTAACCTTTTGTCAATTACATACACGATCGTATTCGTCCTTGACACGTAATTTTATGTCTCAGCCTTGGCATCGCAGCTGCTTCCGTTGCAAGCAGTGTGGGAAGAGTCTGGAGTCTACAACACTGAATGACAATGATGGCGAAATCTACTGCAAAGGTGCGATCACTGAGCACACGGCATGCACATTATCGGTTTTACAGAATTGGGGAAAGGTCACAGTATGGTTGAACTTCTGAACTTCTTCCGCACCGTACTGATCGTTAATTGTATTAGAATCGTAGCACTCGAATTAAGTGCATTCTCAGTGAATGAATTATAGTAAAAAAACAATCAAATCACGTTTGTGGTTTCACCACCAAAATGAAAGAATGTTTACTTATATTTATTCACCAGCCAGTAAGCCGGGCGTTTGTTTCAGCAAGGTAATCCCCAAACTGGTTTAAACCTCTCTATTATAAGCATGGTCTCACCTGCATGCTATCAGGTGGCTTGATATTCTGAGCAATGAGTCATCCACGATTGACTACTTTGAGGCTGTAAAGCAGAATGCTCAAAATAACAATGTTTACTTTAGTTCAACATGTTTTGATGTTTTACACTGGCATGGGTGAGGTCAATTAATGCCTCGCACGATTCATCAGCTGCTCTTGCTGCAGGGTCGTAGCCCTTTTGGAATTGAGAAACTGAGTTCCACTTTGTGGGATGCTGCCAGTGCTCATTCTACAGAGACGCTGGCATCTGTCATAAGAATGTGGAATTTTTCGTTCTGGCTTGAGGCCATCAGTGGAGATTAGCTGATTTTAATGGGAAGGCCTTTTAACTTCCATTTTATTTACAAGTGTTGGTGAACTTGATGTTATTTGTTTTTACATGCGTCTATGTAGAAGATGCAACCGTTTTCCTCTGCAACTCTATCTAAGCACAGTGACAAATCGCTGGTGGCAGCAGCAGCAATCTCTCTTTACAGTCCCCTTTGTTGAAAAAGCCCACAAAATTAAGGGCGAAACTACATTTTGCACTGTTGCACACAATGTGTGTATTTTCTACACAAGTTGTTGGTCTGAGCCGACCAAACCCCACAGGCTCAAAGACAATGTTTCATTCTTGGGCAACTGCCCAAAGACTAATCCCAGGATCTCAAACATACAACGCTATTCTGATGCTAATTATTTGGTGATGTTTTGTTGGCCAGTGGTGCGCAAGCACAAATAACAAAAAGTAAACTTTACACGTTTGTCAACAACACTGCCTTGTAAAGAAAAATTATATAAGAGGTGACGTTTCGGGCAATGGCTCATCTTCACAGCACAGAGATGCTAAAGGTAGAGTCACTCTAAAGAGTCACTCTAAAGTTACTCTACCGCTCTGGCCTCTCTATCTGTTGAGTTTTATTTATTTCTGATGCAAAGTGATCTCAATACAGATCTTCTGTACTACCACCACACCGCTCGCCCCTGTTTTGGCTGGTTTCATCTCATCTCACAGTGCAAGTGTTAAACTTTATAATCACATGAGCAAAGTACTCTTGGTCACTGAAACCGTTCTCGCATATGTTTGTGTACATTTTGGGGCTTTTGTTAAATTAATATGAGGCAGTGGAGTTACTCTGAGCAACGCTTCCCCCTGGGGCACTTGTATCCTGCGCATATTTCTACTTGCCATGTGCTTGGTGGATACAATTTTAAGATAATAAAATAACATGTTCAGCATTCGAACTCTTGTTTCACTTGCAGGTATTATCCACTCGTGTTGCACTTTTTAAGCCTCAGAGTGCTGCATGGAATATACTGCGGTTTCTCATTTGGCTGACCTCACTGTTTGGCCACGTTAACAAAAGGGGCCCTTATGCAACTTTGGGTCTTGTTAATAATGAGGCTTTGTCTAGTTCCTTGGCGTTGGCAGAGAGGCACAGAGCTAATCACCAGCTCGTCTGCATGGCTAAAGTGCTTCGAGAGCTCGTAGAAATAGACAACAGAAGGATATCCAGAGGCCTGCATTAGTTGGTGATAATTTTTAAGATGCTTCACTCGTGTAGAAATTACATATTTGTTTGGAATTGTAACATTAAATGTGCACAACTGAGCAGAGCATAAATCTGAAGGTGCTATGTTGTTTTTGTGCGTTCCTACAACATTCACATGCCCCTTTGTGTTCAAAGCCAGTGTATAACTCCCTCCCCCCCCCCCCCCCCCGACATCAGAATTGGCTCATCCACAGCCATGTATGCAGGCATCTTCAATGGAAAGCATTCAATTAATCTTTAAAGTTTAGAACGTAATGTGGTTTTAGGATTGGGTCTATCGTATACAAGTAATAGTATAGAAACAGGTTATTGCAGAGACTGGCCATTGTGTTATCCTTTGATGACTGTGCAGTGCTGTGGGAAATGAGAACAGGCATGAGTGAGGTGGCAGTGTTGGTGTTGGAAAGCATTGTGGGGAGCGGTGGTGCAGCGGTTAGCGTGCTGCGCTATGAACCCAGCGACCCAAATTCGATTCCCACTCACGGCCAACACCAGTGACCATTATCTGAACCGGGCCTGGGCCTCTACCAAGTTCACTCAGCCTGATATGAGTCCCTGTGTGATGTGAAAACATCGCCACTAGCAAGACAAACGCTGGCAACCCACCCCCTCATATGTCATGCCAGCCTTCATAGGTGCTCACACTTGCCCAACAGTCTGTTGGAGTGTGGGGATGTTGTTGGTCTCATGATATACATTGCATAAGTGACGTCTACCTGCTGGGGGGGATATATACATGTTTAGGCTGCAAGTACGGGCAGGACGTGTTTGCAGTTGTGAAGGGCATGGATAGATGAGTGTGCATGGTGGCCTACAGAGATTATGCCCGAACATGAGGAGAACGATAACAGTACGTTTGGAAGAACACATGGAGGTGACCGCACGCTCCCATTCAAAGTATATACGTGTTTACATGCAGGGACATCCCCTCATTCTTTACAGATACGTGCCTGGAAGGCATTTCATGGGCCGTCCTACTGCAGTTTGAAGCTTTGTTGAGAAGAAAAATAGACTTTAAAGTCACCATTTATTTTGGGTTGAGCACATTAACCACAGCACCACCCAGCCGGATATGCTAACAAATGAAAATACGTCACACTGTACGTATATATAGTATAACAAAACAATATCCTGAACCTATAACAAAATGAAAGCGTTGCGTCTCATTGTCTCGTGCATTTGCAGCCTGCTACGCGAAGAACTTTGGCCCCAAGGGTGTGGGTTACGGCCTGGGTGCTGGAACCCTCATGCATTCCCAGTGAGGCTGGTCTCCAGAGTGAAGATCGGCTCTTCGACACGCACGCATTCCCCCATAGCCTGGTGCAGGCCTTAGCTCCATACTTCACCGCTCGAGGCAGCCACATCTCCGCTCCCACAAGGGTTGCCGCAAAATTCCGATATCCACGATTTATTGTTAAAAGGTCCACGATAATCGTATGGCGTCTGTTCTACAAAATATTGTCATATCATGGTTATCAATGTTTTTTAATATTTGATTTCCTCACAAAACCTTTTTTTTATAACCTACTCAAGTTTAACATATCCGAGCTCACAGTGGCTATATTTACATGCAGTTAACAGTTTTTATTGGGTGTTTAAATCCTTGAGTGTTACCCTTTGTCAATCGTTTTAGGATACTCTCTAGTGCTTGTGCTCTTAAACGGTAACTCAGAGATGGCCACTGCAGTTTACCCGTGCACATTTTATAGTAGTTTTATATTTTTTATTCGAGTAAAACCTACGACCAAGTTGTTTTTGGTTTATGAATAAACAGTGATCTCTAGGAATCGTATAGCCCTAAAACAAATATGATGTTCTTTGTAGGTTTTAAATAAAAATGCAAATGAAATGTCCTGGCATATTGTGTTCATGTCCACACCTTTGCTTATAACTTATATGTGAGAGATATTATAAATATGGGCTTTAAAATATCTACCACCAATTACAGTATACATTAAAACGTAAATTCAGTCACCTCTGAATTGGAGTATTAATTAGAGATGGCAAACAATTTAAACATGATTTTTAAAACATAATTCCAGCATTAACAATTCTACCATGCATTTGTATCAACCTGTGTATCCAGCTAAATTGCTTTCATAAATGCAAGTGCCTCGTCACACCAGACACATTTAGTCAAAAGGTAAATGGAGCGCTTTTCCTGCTTTATCAATGCGGCCGAGCACTGCACTCGATGAAGCCAGGGTTGCAATTGTCTGCACCCACACAGCTTTCTTCAATGTTGTTTACCTTTTTGCACATAACAGCGGTGCTGTGATTGGCTGCAAAGCATTTATCATGGTAGTGAGAAAAACAATCCCAACATATTTTTGTATGCATGGATTGTATATTTACTGGGACACCTGGATTAATGTGTTTAAGGTAATTGACATAAATGAAGGGATCAACGAGTGAAGCTTTATAGAAACGGTAACAATACCGTGTTAAAGTATAGGTGGAGTTTTATATGCAGGGTCTACTTATGAACGAGTTACTTTCTCGAAGTCTATTCATAAGTCGATTTGTCCAACTTTACTCCTGTCGATTCCAAACATGTACAGTATAGATACTAAACACGGGGAATGGCTTTAAAGGTTGTAAAATCTCCTGTAGATGCCACTGGTTTTTCATGTTCTGCAGATGTAGATACCACCACTGCCATCTATTGCGCGTCGGTTGAATTTACTAATCTCGTTCCGAGCAGGCAACTCAACATACGGACAGGTTTCTTCATATCTCTGAATGTTCGTAAGTCAAATGCTCGTAAATAGAGGAGTGTCGTGTCCTGCATATCTTAGGTAATATTATCTTTGAAGTAAAAAAAAAACCCACTTGGATTCAAAAGTAATAATGCATTTTTTTGTAAACAAAGTGTCACGTATTTATGAGTCGAATTTATTGAAAATCTAGTGTGCCTTTGTGGCCGTGTCACACATGGCAAACATCTGCAAGACGCCTTAAGAGTGCGTACAGGTTATTACACACTATCTACGGAGAAAATCCAGGGACATCCAGTGTTGTAATGTTCATTGTGGTTATCAATATGATCATTAGTGTCTATCCGCTGCCGAATGGACTCATGCCATTGACGAATCTCACCACTCTGCATCTGCGGTGGCTGTAGTCTTGGATCCCATCTCTTCTTTGGTGTCCAGTCTGTCGCTCATCCCATCCATCAGCCATCTATTCCAGAGATGTGTTCTTTGCAAGCTCATTTTACTTGCCCTCAACATTCAATCTGAAGTCTCTGAATTGCATTTGTTGAGTGATCCATGCGTACGCTCCATGTGGCACCATGTAAATGACACGTGACATTGTTGCACATGCTTCAATATCTGTCCTGGGGGCATCATGTCAAGTTGACTTGGCAATGCAAGCTTCGTAAATGTCCATCGCATAGAAGTCTGGCTGCTTGTGTCTGTCGATTTCGTTGTACGATTATAAAACAATGTAAAAAGACAACAAATATTCCATATATAAAGCCTCAACGAAAAATGTAATGATTTTCAGTTTTAATTAACAAGATACAAAAACCCAAGGCAATTACATAACTCTCAATTCATAAGCCACCTAGCAGATTTATGAGCCCATTATAGACATTAAATTACCAACAATAAAAACAAAATCATTACATTGGTAATTTTGTAAAGTAACATTTCCAACTCAACATCCTGGTACCGACTTCTTCCAGGCAGAAAGATTTAGGTCTCTTCACCGAGGACCCTCGAAGGCCACCACGTGAACATTCACACAGAACAGCCGGACGACGATGGCTGAGTGAGCACTTTCATTTTTCTTTGTTTCTAAAAGTTCAAACAGTGAAACAAAAAAAAGATTGGATTATTATGATACGATACATTGACGACCATGTTCAACAGGTACTTGTGATTTCGATTTAAAGCTTTCGTGACTGCAGGGATTCATCTTCTTGGTTCTTTTGGTAAAGTCACGTAGAAGGGAAATAATAAAACAATACAAATAAAACATAATAAAATACAATTCTCACGACGTTTCGGCCACAACGCAAGCAGCCGTCCTCAGGTGAAGAACAGGTCTGTCGGAAAGACAGCGTCTGAATGACAAACCTGTTCTTCACCTGAGGATGGCTGCTTGCGTTGTGGCCGAAACGTGAGAATTATTTTATTATGTTTTATTTTTATTATTTTATTACTTCCCTTCTACGTGACTTTACCGAAAGAACCAAGAAGAGGTACTTGTGAATTAAATTGCTAATGTTGTGGGTTTACCTTTCAACACAACCGGTGTGCTGTACTAGTAACGAATTGGCACGTTCTGTTTACGTGACAAACCTTACTAACTGGCTGTGTCGGGTGCTGGCGGGTATAACGACACATTTACACTTACGCGATCTAACCCAAAAACCTCGTGGATAATACTGGTCGCGAAAGCTTACGTGTTAAAGTTACGTCTTGCAATGGATCATTTATGCAAACAAGTTGAGAGTCTGGGCGAGCGGCTCACACTGTGACGTGAAGCCGCCCCATTGTGCGCACCGCCACATTAAATACACAACAGCAATGACCGCGGTGATTTACGAGAAGGCACGGAGAGCAACAACTGTGCTCGTGTACTTCCCCCCACGGTTGTGGCTCTCTCGGCCAGCTCTGCACATTGCACAAAAGTCTGGTGGAAACTGCAATGCAATGCCCGGCACTTTGCATGGTTGCTCGACAAGCCGTTTCCATAATGCACAGTATTTAAGTGAAATCCGGTTGCATTCAGATGGTTTACAAAACAAACTATTATATTGTATAAATGCACAGGCATCATTTATTTGAGAGAGAACAGGTGTGAATGCTTTAGTGGTTGGATTATCGCGGTCGCTAAGCATGCTCAGCGGCCAACAACAGCACGATGAACGGGGTTCTTAATTATTCCATTTTGTAGAACAAACGGGACCGCGGCCAGCATACGACGTGAGCGACATGGCCCGAATGAGCGTCGCGGTGTTCTCACTTGTGAAGCGGTGGCATGTGGGGATGCGTCCCGTGCTCATGGTGGCAGCTCTTTTTACTGACGTACTCTTCTACCGTCATCCTCAGAACAAATATCTGTCAAGTATAAAAAGTGGGATCGGATAGGAAGCTTTACAAAACGATTTTCAACACAAGTATGAAAAAATAAGAATAGATTTTAATTTGATACTGGTAAAAAGGTCCCATTTTTTTATAACACAAACTGGTGGAGAATGTTATGCTTTTTGATGTGATAAACTCGAATTTAAAACACAAACTATTGTCGAGTAAATTCAATGAACCTTACAACGGACTGAGGCACGCCAACATCAAACCAATCGCACCATGTGACTGAAGCTTTCGCTATGTATACGCTGATTTAAATCATATCACGCATATATTTGTTCATTTAATGTTCACTTAATGTTAAAGCTGAGGATAGCTGTATTCAATACAGTCGTAAGTTTCAGTGACATCGCTGGCTGGATTTTGTCCACGGGCTGTAGTTTGAATATCTCAGATCTAGTCTGAAGAGCACACGCTGAATGAGCTGCAATTAAAGTTTGTGATTAAATGGTTACATTTGGCGCCAATGAGAGATTCCCCCAGCACTCCTGCATGTGTTCGTGCGCGCATTGAAGCACACCAAAACAAAGATCCCCCGTTCGAGCCTACGTATGCCTATTGGGGCGAGTGCCGTTAGCGAGCGCCTCTGATGGCCGGCACGGCACGCGCGAGGTGGCGGCGTGGCTCGCGGGCCACTCTCGCCCACTTTGTCTTCGCGACTCGCCGCACGCACGACGCCACGGACAAACCTGGTAGAGCTGCGTGCTCAGCGCAATCATCAACCACATGATGTGGAAGGCTACGTTGAAGGCGGTCCAGGTGACCCACGGGGAGCAGGTGGCGATGCGCGACACTCGGCTCCACGTGCCGTCCGGCCCTGAGGGGCCCCAACCCCCACACTCTGCATTCCAGACTGAGGGACCCCCCCTGCGTTCAACACTTCTGAGAAATGATGTGGCTGGACGTGGTACAATACGTAATTTTAAGAAACATTTTTGGGTCAACATGTTTTTGTTCAAATCTATGTTGCTGAGCACAGGGCCAAAGGCTAAAAAAACAGCAATAAACAGCACTATTCAAGGCGTAATAGATGTGTTCATACGTTTCCTGAATTGAGAAAGGTTAGAAGAACTTGGAGAAAGACGTAGTACATTTGTGAAGCCGTAGAGTAGTGGTTAGTGCACTGCACCACGAACCTATGGACCTGAATTAGATTCCTAGCCATGGCTAATGTCAGTGCTAAGTGATATTTGAACAGGTCATGGTTGCTCGCCCCACAAACCCCACTTCATCAAATGACCCTCACCATCATGGCGAAGCATGGCCAAACAACCCCTGTGACCGACACGGCGCGTGGAGGTCTTCATCCATCAGTGGATTGACAAATGATTGTACCACCACACTGGTCAGTGTGAATTGATGGCGGGGATCAGATGTAGGAGCTTAGAAGTGCAATACAACTGAATGTCTCTGCACTGCCCTCTGCTGCCCACCATGTAGCCCCGTAGCAACCTTCTGTGCATGGTTGCAGGTCACCCATCCACGCACCGTCCACTGCTCAGCGTCTGAGATCTGACGAGACTGGGCTAGTTCCGGGTGAAATTTGGTCATAGGCAGTGACGACGATGAACCAACCGTTCATGACTCTGCGGTGTGTGAAAATGCAATCGATGGAACGAGGAAAAACGATCCGATCATGGTCTCTTGGTTCTAGAGGCACCGTAATACGATAAATTCATACACCCGACAAAATCACCAATCAGAGATTTGCCCTCTCCCATACACGGAAGGAAGTGGGCGTGTGTTTGCCCATATATGATCATTGCGGAGCATTAATCGAGATCAATTGTATCGATTGCGCTCAGCTGACCCACAATTTAAACGCATCAAAATTATCTGGGATAATCATAATTTGCGTGGTTAATCGCTGCGTCGATTTCATTGCCAATCGATCCACGGACCGAGTAATATTGGATTGGCTAATATCAGTGAGATCGGCGATTCCGTCGCAGTCCGCTTTCATTGTGACCACAGAGCGCATCACGCTCGAGCCACCAGAGAGTCCTTCCTAGTCGTCACGCGTCACGGATGAAGAGCCGCCTCTACGCCACGCGGGGGCGCGCGCACGCGCGGGATCCTGCGCTCGTTACGTCGAGAAACACAAACACAAGCAGCAGTAGCAGCAGCGGCAGGCACCACTGGCTATGGCCATTTCAACGCCGATCCATCGACTCAATATGGCAGAGTTGGGGAATGTTATGTGGCACAAGGATGAGACAATAACTTGCACCCATATTAATATTTTGTATACATCGTGTCACTCGTGTGTGTGAATTGCAATGTTTGCCCGTGCACTTGTCACCACGACAGACACGGGCAACACATCATGCACTGGAATTCAAATAGAAAGGTGGAATAACAACGCAGATTATTCGAATCAAATTGTACTCTAAGTCAAGTAAATTGTTCATCAACCTTTTTCCTCCCTTGTATGATGTTTAACTATTGCTGATATTTGTCTTTCTACATTTTCCTGTTGTTTTGTTCAACTCTGCATGCGATTGTTTCATTTATCTACTCCGTGATTTTACGCCACTGCCGACCAACCAGCTTGGGCTGGACACCTTAAGTAAACCTTCCATGAAAATAAACATTCATTAACTTGTATGCACTTCAAATATACGCCAGCCAGCGTTGCGTTATCTAGACTCAACACAGGACCTCGCAGTTTCATTCAGAACATTTTGTGCAGAAGCATGTAAAACATTCAACAGGATTTTCTCAACTCACAAAAGACGCATCCCCAGAGGAGCCATGTCAACCATGCCAGTGAAGACAGCATCAAGCCAAAGAAGTGCCTCCAATTCTTTGCACCTAACACAAACAAACAAACAAGCATAGTTATCCCTCGTCACCAGGACACACAATTTTAATGTCCACATTTACCTCAACGAAACGTTTCTATGTAAAAATAAATCCCACATTTTTGAGCAAAGCTTATGCAATTGCAGCAGGAGCGTAAAGCAAGCACATGTCCTATCTGCAACCAGAGCATCACTGGGTGCCGCACTGCGATGCGTCCATGACTTCACCGGTGTTAATTTTGTAAGTGAAATTGTAATGGGAACATTCGTAAAAACGTTCTATTTTAACTTTAGTCAACGATAGCTCTAAGTGGGTGTAAATAAATTAGGCTGAACGAAGGCGCTGACCAAGATAATTTAGCAACGGTTTTTGAAACAGCAGTGCTCTGAGGGACACAATTGATAATTCGTTTTATAAATACATTTAACGTGAACGCCGATTGGCTGACGTGATGATATGTGGAATGGGGGGGGGGGATAATATTGTCTGCCGAAATGTTTGACTGCTTAAGTTGGCTAGATGAAGGGGAATGACTAAACAAAATCCACAGACTAAGACCTGACTAAAGTTCCACAGTCTGTCGTCAACTAGGCTAAGACTCGGAACTAAATACAACAAAGTGTGGAGGAACCTCACAGTTACTCCGCACTCACCAACACAGTTTCCGATCCACCAACAGTGGCTGTCGTAGCCCTCGATGCATCTGCCACACATGGGGCAGTGCTTGGAGAAGGGGGGCCTGGGTGCCTGGGTTGTGAAACGCAGCAGACAAGGGGGGGGGGCGCCGAGTCACGTGACGCACGCCAACACGAGTAAAGCAGGGCGTGTGCGAATGCACATCTTGCAGCCACATAACATGTAAGAATGAAGGAGCCGGCGTATAGTTTAAATAGTCAAAATGTCAGATATGTTCGGTACACCAATGAACGTTGTGCGGTGGGTCATGTTTATTGCCGGTCCTGAGGCAATGGTCAAAATTTCACAAATCGGTAAGGGAATCGGTCCATTCGTTAGACCACCACTGTCGATTTCCCACAAAGTGGTACGCGTTTTATTGACCCCAGAGGAATGATGCCCTCAGGGATTTGACCTCACAACTTGTAAATGAGTCACACTCTTCCACAGCGCCACCGCGATTGCCTCTCCCGTGATTTATATAAATGCTGATCGTCACTGAAGGCGCCCTCTTCAGCAGGCTTGATGATTTAAGTAAAACAGTTTGGGTTTCTGGGAGAGCAGATTTTTTTTCGTGGTTTGTGAACCCCACCTTGAAATGGATAACAAGCATGTGGTACTCGTCCACTCTTAATTGCACGTGGAGAGGGAGAACCGGTGGGGAGATCGTGATGGGAAGATTGTGTTTGTGCAATGACAGCACAGCCGGATGCCATGCTCGCCTGGCCACCCTCCACAGGGAGTGCCCGGTAGAGCCCTGTAATTATGCCGTGACTGAGACGGGAAGTTCGGCAGTGAGTGGCCTTGATTGACCCAACTCTCGCCTTACGTTTCTTCTCATATGGGCCCCAAATGTGCTTTATAAAGCTCAGCCAAACATTCCACTTTGCTTATTCAAGGTCACTAAGTGTCCCCCCGCTCCCATCGCTGGCCCGCCCAGCGTTCAGCCTCGTCAAGAGACAAAGTGAAGGATGGAGTTAAGGATTGAGCAAGCGAAGGACTGAGAGCAGAGAGTATCATGCTGGGACTGAACCGTTTGGGGTGAACATACCAGGCAAATGATGCAATACGTGGACGCCGTGAATGTTCCAGCCTCAGCCATTTTGATGATCGTCTGCAAACCACGCACGCAATCGTAGTTTAACGCAACACACAAGCACACCAACACAAATACACATCAATTTGAAAATACGCACGGCAAGTTTACCATCTTCACCATCATCATCAACGTCGTCAGTCTCATAACCATGGAGCTCGTGGGGGAACCAGTGATGCTTTAGCAATCAATTCTCTCCACCTTCTGCGCTCCTTTGCGACCGGCACGTGTACCCTATTTCCTGTTGCCCACAATTAAACTTGTCCACATTGACGCAAAATCAGCTCTGAGAGTGTCACCACTCTCTCGTAACCATTTATGTTTTGATCGTGGTAAACACGCGAGCCCGGTATAATGAGCCGGTGTTTTGCACTGTCGGCATTTACTCAGTAATAACCTTAAGCGATAATTTACAGTTATACATCCACTGCTTAACGGAGCCGTCCCTGCACCGTATCATTCATGATGGCCATTTGACCATACTACTGAAATGAGGGGGGTGAGAGAGCGGTTCCCAGGACCAAGTTAGGTATCAATAAACTCTGCACTAAGCCATGGCCAGGAATCGAACTCAGGCCAGCAGGTTCATATCGCAGTACACGAACCACTGCGCCCGCTGGTCCCCACGCCAATGCAGCTTCACTCAGAGGCCCGGTTTACTCACGGGTGGCTGAAATCAGGATTTGACGGCAGCTCGGTGCCCCCCGACACGAGCGTCAACCCCCGTGAGCCACCCAGCCAATGCGGCGCGGGCACACGCGCGCACCTCGTTCGAGACAGTGTTGGGTGCACGTCTGCAGACCTGTCTCTGCTCCTGCTGGTTCCTGGCGATGCCGGGTGGAGGGCGTGCCACCTTCGCGAGGCAGTAAAATGCCGCTCCGCTCACAATCACGGCCAGCGGCTGGGACCAAGCGCCACCCACGTGTGCACACGGCCGTCAAAGAAACAATTCACGTGAAGGCGCAAGGAAATACAAATACCGCTTGGCAGCTAAATAAAGCTTTAACTGGTTGTTCTTTCGTGCCAATGGGCACCATGTGTTCAGCACTCTATAAAAACCCTGGCTTCCGGGCACCTCCAGCCACCACGTTTTTTATGTTTGGAGTTGGTGGGGTCCAATAAAATGTTTACGGCACCGACAAAGTGTTTATGAAAGTGTGTGGAACGTGTAAAATGACTCTACAACATATTGAAAATAACCCTTTAAATTTAGATTTTATTTACATTATACTTAATTCAGCGGGAAGGGCCGTGTAAGCTTTTAGGCTCTATTTCATGGGCGTCCGATGTTATGCAGCACAGATCTTGGTTACAAGGTAATTATTAAATGTGAATCCCGAATTGCCATGGATCAGTTACATTTATTAGAGGCACGAAGATCTAGATGCTCTGATTACTTACCTGTGATGAGGTTACGTTGATTTACTCGCCACAAACCTGAGAGATGCATGCCAAGCGTCGGGAGTAGAGTTGACTATTCCCACATGGCTCTCTCTCCCCCTTGCCTCTACTCGCAGCCTTCACTACTCCCAAACTCATCCATTTCTCCCACCATGGATCCTCCTCCCCACTTCATCAATCCCTCTCTGCCTCCATCCCTCTCTCCCCATGCAATATAATTTTTCTGAAAAAGAAGCTAATAACTCAGTGTGCTTTACCTGGTAGAATAAACACACATATATTAGTGACTTGCTTACCTTTCCTATACTTTGCACTCCTATCATATTTTCATATTGTTTGTCGTTGTAACTTTCTGACGTACCCATGCTGGACATTTGTGAAAAAGCACTTAATAGCTCATCGGAATCCTACAGTATAAAGAGTATGATTCTGCGTTGTTAATTGACTTGCACATTCTATTCCAATAAGCATAATTTTACTGGTTTTTTTATTGTTTTGCGCTAACAATCACACAATTATGGTAACATACCTGCTGACATCGCCACACGTGGTTGTGTAAGCATTCTACAAAACTGCCACCCGTCCACAAATGACATCACCGCGTCAATGTAAGAGCGCCGACAATACATGAATGCATCTCTGCACTCAAATACACGACGGCAGCCTTGAAGTGCCGTTATTGGCTTCCTCTGCGTGCAATAACGCCACAGCAATGTTTTGCCGAGACTGGAAGTGGCCCTCGAGGTGTCGTGCATGGACGTTGCATCTTGTACCGTCCTCAGCTCTTCTACATGCGTGAGAGGCATGAGTTTTGACGGGACGACTTAATTAATTTCTGCGCTGAGAGCCACGCGTGCTGTCAATTTTTGAGACCTTTCAATACAAATGTGATCATTTTAACAAGAGGCTTTTGTCGTCAAACACTACAACAGCTTTAATTCTAGCTTTGAAGCTTTCGTGACTGCAAGGATTCATACTTTTTGGTTCTTTCGGTAAAGTAACGTAGGTAAAAAATTCAATAAAATAAATGAAAACAACTAAATTAAATCACGACGTTTCGGGCGCAAAACAAGCGTCCTTCTTCAGGTGGGGTCAACGTAGCGAAAGCACAAACGCTTAATTGTGTCTCAGAGATGGCTTTCGCTAGGTTGTCCTCACCTGAAGAAGGATGCTTGTGTTGCGCCCGAAACGTCGTGATTTAATTGAGTTGTTTTTATTTATTTTGTTAAATTTTTTACCTACGTGACTTTACCGAAAGAACCAAAGAGTACTAAAACAGCTAGCCGTGTCCAGTGTTGGTTGACCTACCAAGATGGAGAAAAACATATAAACAGCCAAAATCAAATGCGGTGCATTGTGGGTGAAAACACAAAGGATATGAGGCCACAGCCAAAAGAACCACGTGAAGTGCGTCCACAGCATGGTGGACGAGAAGGCAGCAAGCTGCGCTACCTTCTGGCTTTCCTGGAAAAACAGGAACCTGAAAAATATCACTGAGATGAGAGACAAAATATTCGCACAGTCTTTGCATACAGTTTGGGTTGCCGCCTGTCCCCTTGTTGAGGCATCTGTTCGGGGAAATCTGCGGCATTGTAATGCCAGAGGAAGATAACGGCCCCGGTTTTGCTTAGGCTGGTCCCGGTTTTTTGTCAGTTGTGTAACAATGCACTTTTGAGTCCAGTCCATCACAAATGGGCACTGATCACACAGAGTAAGCTCTGTGGAATAAAACAACATTATTTTAAGTCTGTTGCAAAACTGGCTCAGGATCAAGGATGGACACGTAGTTCTCCCCTCTTCTGCTATTGTGAGAAATCCTTCTTCCCACGATACGTCCCGTTTTTTATTTTGGCAACCTTACACACCGTAGTTTTACACAATATTTGAAGATTGGAGTCAAATGGCTCGGTTACAGTATTCGATGAGCAAGAATCTAGATGCTGCACAATAACTCATTCGTGGTAAGTTTGTATTCTCTACTCGCCAAAAAAGCTGACAGCACAGCAAAAAGGAACTGCAGTGGTTTGGCTGCACAGGCAGGAATCCCTCTACCCGTCCCCTGCCCTCCCTCGCCTAAAATGCAAGTGGAAATATCGTGAGCCACTCGAGTGCAGTTGTGCATTGACATGGTAATTTTAAAGTCATGTATGAAAAAACACACAAACTAAATTTGAAGTTGATGTGATTTTCAGCAAAAAGCAGTGAACATGAAAGAAAACTATGCAAATATATTATGTCTTGTTATGGAGCATTATGTGGAATGCCCCAGATAAAAACCATCTGGAAGCCCAGCAGTATTCACTTAACAAGCCTGACTGCTGATGAGACCCTGAAAATCAAAACCGGTCCAGTATATGCCTTTATGTTGAACTTCTTTCGCACCGTACGTATCCAACCGTGCTAATCGGAGGAGTAAAATACTTGTATTGATAACTTAAATCGGGAAAGCCAAGAGGTCGACGGACTAAATACTATGTTGTACAACTGAATACAAATAACAGCTGGCTGAGAAGGCGAGATCATGTTGTGATCTAGGTCACCGAGGCAGCGGTAGGGTAACGCTGTAGCCATAGCAACTATTCTCCGTCCACTAAATTGTCACAATTCATTGAATTGTTTCTCATTTGTTCTGTGTCATTTGTACGTTCTCTTGCCACCCTGAATAAACCAGTTGGGCAGCATCTGCAACTGATTTTTACAATGAGTGTAGTCTTGGGACTTTGAACTGAGCATTGGCAGCTGCATGGTTGGTGAAACAGTTTATGTGTGTATTACTGGTAGGAACCTCCTGGTTACACCAGCCCACAGGAAATTATTGCGTCCGTCCATTGTGCAGGGAGGGGCTGGGTGGGTAGGAAGGGGCTGGGTGGGGAGGGGAGGGTGGGGCTGGGTGGGGAGGGGAGGGTGGGGAGGGGCTGGGTGGGGAGGGTGGGGAGGGGCTGGGTGGGGAGGGTGGGGCTGGGTGGGGGGTGGGAGGGGTGGGGCTGGGTGGGGAGGGGAGGGGCTGGGTGGGGAGGGGAGGGGCTGGGTGGGGAGGGGAGGGGCTGGTCACCCCGTGGTGCCCTTATAAAACTCAACGTTTAACCTACTCACATCGGCTTGTTCCCGCCCTCACAGTAGGCCATATTTGCGGAATACACCACGCCGCCGTTGACCCTGGCCATTGACCGAGCAACTCAACGTTCCTACCAGCTCCCTCCGCAGGAATGTGTTAATGAACTGCAGTGGCCGGGCTTGGTGGATCAGTCAGGTAACTGAAGCATAGCAACTGGGCTTTGCAGAGTACATGGTGCTAAAGGAAAGGCTGCAGACTGGACCAAGAAGTTGGCTGCACCAGCAGGAGCAGATATCTCCAAGCCACATGTTCCTCTTTCTGTTCCTCAGCGAGTTTCCAACCGATCACCTCTATCTGTGCTTATTTCGAACATTTTAGATTTTTTATCCCAGGCCACCTTCAATAATTGCGCTAATGTACCATACACATACTGTTACTATGAAATATCCATTGAAAGTTGTGGATAAATGCGAGTATTTAACAGGTGGATAGATAGAAGTGAAAGAAGTTGCTTCGATTTCTCATTGCACTCCAGTGACTTGCGATATGGATGATGAGTGTAGAAGGCCGTAGTGAGTAAGATGGTAGTAAGCCTGAGGGGTGCATGTTTTGTCATCGTGGTACCTTGTGACTAAGGCACTGGAACCCCACACGGCAGACAGCAGGGTGCCTTTCAGCAGCCATGATTCAGAATTCAACGTCAGCACGCCGCCCACCAGCCCGAACGACAGCCCAGCAAGGAGCCACACCAGCACCGTGCCGAGACTCTGCATGCACCCAGGAGGTAATAGCACTTCATGTTTAGACCGGGGGTGTCATGATGTGGCATCGATTAGTAGCGATTCTTAAGCTCACGATGCACGAGACGAACCGCTTGTGTAAGAATCGGTGTTTTTCATTCTCTAAATTATCATCTTGTTTATGCTATGGTGGTCACCCAGACTGGGTAAAAGTAGGCATTGCTTTAAGAAGATGAAGATGAAAAATAACACAAGGTTTACCCGAAACAAATTCAAGATTGGAACAGCCACATATTCCTTAAGCATGTTTTATATTTTCCCCAGGGTTATCCCATTTGAGCTATCAATTTCTTGCTGGTACCACTGCCAGCAAAAGGCCCTCTAGTGGAAAACTGGCCAATTATTCCAGGCTTGCATGATGTCTCGTAAGAGGTGGGAGGACCCACACATCACTCCTCCACCAAACATGACCTGCAGATCATTGAACTGTTAAACATTGGTTACACTATACTCTTTGGTTCTTTCGGTAAAGTCACGTTGGCATAAAATAATAAGAATACAAATTCCTTTCCAGCTCAGACCCCGCTTGCTTGCCCATCGCCACATATATAGCCTCTTGTTATAACAGCTCTCTCGCTGGTTCAGCAGTTCCACTGCTGGATTATATTTTTTCCGCCTGAGGACGACCGCTTGTGTTGCGATCGAAACGTCGTGATTTATTTTATTTTCTACCTACGTGACTTTACCGAAAGAACCAAAGAGTATGGATTCCTGTAGTCACGAAAGCTTCAAATCAAGATTGGTTACACTGCATTAATGTGCAAGCCCTTGAATGTGCAAGTATATACGGTATACATTTAAGATTAAACAATGGCAGGAAAACAATACCTGTGCACCTAAATAATGATTTATTGTGAAGTATTTTTATCTTTTCTAATAATTCCATTATTAAACAATGCTTACTGAATTCAGCCATGTGCAAATCTGTCTATACGCCTCATTCTAATAATGCTTTGACTGCCTCCCGTGAGTACCTGCTATGGTTGCCACCTGTTCTGGTTTTCCAAGGACAGGTGGCAACCATAATACATTTACATATAGCATGTAGTTCATCCCTCTTCTAGTATTGTGAGATATTCTTCTGCCCGAGATATGCACTGTTTTTGTGTACCCAAGAGGTGGCGACCCTCGTACACCAGCGCACGCGGGCGCTTGTGCATGTTCAAACACAGCGCAAGCTGCGCGCACGTTCCCCAGCGTGAAACTCGCCTTGCGGGACTTGAGTGCGTACATAAGGCGCGATCCGTGGAGGCCTCGTGTCTTGCGCCCCTCCACCAGCAGCCGGGCCACGAAAGAGGCCTTCATCCGTACGGCCATCGCCAACGGCGTTTCACCCTGACAGGTCGGGAGGGGCGAGAGGGGCGGGGGGGGGGGGGGGGGGGCATCGCGCCTCGTCTAAGGACACACACGGGCACTTGCACAGATGTAATGACAGGGTGCCATCTGTTGACAAGAGTGACAGGGTACCATCTGTTGACCAGGAGGGGTAATCACGACTATGGGCGCATTATATAATAACCAACTAGAAGGGGGGTGTAACTGGGTTAAAGGTAAAAGGCGGGGTCAGTCGGGAAGCTCCGGGAAGCTGCTCGAAGGTTCTAGAAAGAAGCCGTGGCCGGAGGCGGGACCTGGCCACGCCGAGGAGTATATAAGGGGGACGTGACTGAAGGTTTGGGGCTGTCGTGGGGTCCGGGTCCTGGCTGCCGTCTCTGTCTTCGCCGGCATCTCTCTTTGTCGTCCGGCCGCATGGCCGATCCTCTGCACGGCTCCCATCGTCGTCGTCGCTATGTTAGTCAGCCAGCTATTTCGTTAGACGCCGAAGATGGGGCTGTGTAGATGGGTCAGCCATGCGTAGCCATGTATATATATGTCGCCCAATGATTGTGCCTGAAGTGTGAGAAATAAATAAGAAGCCCTCTACACGTTGTGTCTCGGAAGTCGCTCACTACACAGGTGTGCACGAGGGAAAAGAGAAGTGAACTCGACAATTAAGCAGTGCTGTCGTAATGGTCCACGTTTTCTTGATAGACAGCATGAAGCATTTTAAATATTATTAAGTTGTACTTGTCGATCAGACTATGGAGATCAATGAGGGTAAAAAAATATGAATAGGTTTTTTTACACTTTCCAACTTATGCTGAAAGCATTCATGCTTTAGCTTTGTCTGTCTGTAACAGTGGGGGGAGGGGCACTCTTAATTTTTTTGAATATGGTCAAATATCAATAAAACTGCCATAGAAAGTTGTATTGCTATTGGCCACTTGCCCTATTGAATTTAAAAGTGGTAATATTGATCAAAGGGTTACCCAAAACTTGGAGACACAAAAAGGAGTATTTACACATGTAACACAGCATTCCATACTGCCAATACAAGACATTTAAAAGACCTATGCGATGGAAAAGCATTACATGAGCCATGCATGGGCATCATTTATTCACATTTTTGTTGTTGTTACACACAACCAGACCTTGTTTGTGTTACCTAAACTCGTAGCGGCTCGTCCGGCAGGGACCCATGCAGAGCGGTACCTCTTTGTTGACGATGTCGATCGGAGCTCCGGCATCGAGCAGCACCTGTGTGGGCATCCCCGCGCCGCCCTGCACGGCGTAGTGCAGCACCGAGTTGCCGTGCAGCTGGTCCACGCGCCCCAGGGACGCTCCGCACTGCACCAGCATGCGCGTCGGCTCCGGGCTGCGTGCGCGTGAGTCCGCGCGTGCAAGACGTGTCGGAGTGGGTTTATACATTACATAGGGGAAAATGTCAAAACTGGGTGGTTTTTAACTTTTGCCGACAAAACTGGATCCCAAATGTCAAAACTGGGTGCACCCTGGGTGGCCAAAAACTTGAGTTTTGGACACTCAGGGTGCACCCAGTTTTGACATTTGTCAAATACACTTGATAATTGTATACTAGCACAGTGTGCCAGCACCCCATTCATCCAAACACTTGGTATTTGTATACTGGCACACTGTGCCAGCACCCCATTCATCTAAACACTTGGTATTAGTATGCTGGCACAGTGTGCCAGCACCATATAACTACACACACTTGATATTTGTACGCTGGCACAGTGTGCCAGCACCCCAACGACCAACATTTCAAGCTACGGCTCGGACTCGGAAGTGAGCTCGGAGCGGGCTTGCGACCAGGCGGGCGCACTGCCACCTTGCGTGATGACCTAGACTAGTGACTCGCGTCAATACCAAACTTTTGGATTGTTGGTTGATGCTACGCGCTACTGTACACCCTTAAATTTGCCATGCATTCGACCATAGCCCGCCAAACGACCAAGCACAGAGACAAAGGCGACGTCCTTGGGAGATGGACCAGCCTGCTTGACGCTCCTGACCATGGTCCCAATGGTGCGGAACAAACCAACGAATGCGCATCTCGTTGATTGGTCAATCCTTTGGCCCACCGTTACGGTGATTGGCGGATATATTGTGTGAAAAATCAAATTGCTGGCAATGAAAATAGACATATTGTCTCGTGAAAAATTGAAAGTAGACGTAGAAACGTGATTTTTCACAAGCATTTTTCACAAAACAGGTGGAGGAGCGGCTCACATTCGAATGGCAACCCTCCACCCCAAGAAGACTTTTACCACGCACCGCGAGGCCATCCACGGCATCCAAGACTTTGCTTTGCAACAAGGCAAGCGCGCGGTCCTTGACCTCAAGCGAAGCGGCGGATGGCACGTTGCCATCGTCTGCTCTAGTTCAACACCTTGTTCCTTCAAGGTGAAGCTGACGAAGCTCACGGGGGAACGACGCGGCTTCCGCGTCTCGGCGCTGTGCACGGATCACCACGGCTGCACGGGCACTACCAAGATCACGCAGCGCCAAGTGGAGGCGAACACGACAGCCCGTTCGGCCTTTCGCGCCAACCCCCGTACCTCCGCACCGACTGTCATTGCCCAGGTCGCCGACGTTGCTCGCGTCATTGTCCCAACCCGGATGATGTACCGCGCCAAGGACACGTGCATCGCGGCGAACGAGAGTGCGGCCCATGCAGGCTTTGAGTTCATCAACTCGCTGGTGGAGACGTTCGGCAAGCTCAACGCGACGACCTGCAGTGTGCGAGAAGACGCGGGCATCTTCTGGGGTGCGTTCATCTGCAACCCGATCGCACGCTCGTTGCAGCCAAGTCTTCAACGCGTCGTCGGCATCGACGGGTCGCACATGAAGGCGCGCGCCTACAACGGAACCATGCTCGTCCTCGTTGGGCGCGACGGCAACAACCGCAACGTCCTTCTCGCCGTGGCGCTGGTGCCGTCCGAGACGGCAGCGGCCTACGACTGGTTTCTCAACTGCTGCACGACCAACGACAGCGAGCTCGACGGCACGCCGGTCTTCTGCGATCGTGGCACGGGCATCCTAGCCTCCGACTGAAAGGACCTCATGCTCATCCACTGCACGCGGCATTTGATCTGCAACGGCGTGGACAACATCGGCTCCGCGTTCACGCCCGACCTCCAAGGCATCATCTACGATGCCCAAGGGTGCGCCTCCGAGGCCGCGTTCCGCAGCTCCTTGGGCTGCTTGGGCGTAGCTCTGCCTGCGGCGGCCACGTACTACAACAAGATCGACCCCCACACGACGCCATTGTACGGCTGGCGCACGACGAACTTTGTGGAGTCCACGAACAGCGAGGCCCTGCCGGCTCGCGAGATGGACCCCTTCCACTTCCTCATGCACCACATGGAAGACATGATGACGACGGCCTTTGCACACCGCAGCGACGCCGAGAAGTGGGCCGCTCAAGGGCATGTCATTACGCCGTACGCTCAAGGACTCATCGACGCTCAGCAGGCGTTGGCCCCGAGGTACAAGGTCTACGAGAGTACCTCGACGCGTGCATACGTCAAGGATCCAGACGCCTACGCCTCTGCCAAGCGCCGAGTCGATCTCAGCTCTCGGTCGTGCACGTGCGGGTACATGAAGCAGATGGGCTTGCCGTGTCGGCACTACATTCGTGCCCTCATGGCGTTTGGGCGGATGCCCGAGCTCTACGACGCATGTGCGGTGTGTTACCAAGTCTCTGCCATCAACACGACATGGACCTCGGTTGCCGGTATCGAGCTGCCCATTGCCGAGGAGCTGCAACGCGACAACACCATGATGCCACCTCCTCGCCAGAAGAAGGCTGGCCGCCCGAAGAAGCGTCGGATTCGCAACCGTGGCGAAGGTGGCCCATTGGGCCTCACGCGGTGCTCCTTCTGTCGCGCCAAGGGCCACAACAAGCGCTCTTGCCCGTCGAAGTAGTTATATATATGTAACAAACATGTTTTGTTCTAAGTGTGCAGCACCATACTTCTCGACGCAAACACTATCTACCATTGTTCTACTGTAGTAGGTGTAGCATGCAAGCTGGCACACTGTACCAGTATACAAATGGCAAGTTCGTGTATGTTCGCGAGCTGAAAGTGTTACTGTAGTTGCAAGCTGGCACACTGTGCCAGTAAACATATGGCAAGTAAGTGTTACTGTAGTAGCGAGCTGGCACACTGTGCCAGTATACAAATGGCAAGTAAGCGAGCTGGCACACTGTGCCAGTATGCAAACGGGAAGTTTGTGGTGCAAGGTATGGAACATGAGCCACGAGAAACATCATTTGGAACGCTCTAAATCTGTGGCAACATATGGATGAATAACGCAAGGACCTAAACGTGTACAAAATGATACATTAAATCGTACACCTTCTTCACCCAGTTTTGACATTTGTCCACATTGAACATCACCCAGTTTTGTCATATCAAAAAGCACCACCCTGTTTTGCCTGTCGTTTTCCAAGACCACCCAGTTTTGACATTTGGGATCCAGTTTTGTCGGCAAAAGTTAAAAACCACCCAGTTTTGACATTTTCCCCATTACATAGCATGACTTCAAGTACGTTTTTAAATATATATAAGGGATGACCACAGATGAGGCTGGTGATAGAATGGCAGCCAAAGAAAGGAATGCACACTCATGTGGATGACCACTGCATGCGAGATGGATTACAGCATCGCAAGACCGTGGGGGGGCATGGCGACAATGTGGGAAGGGGCCTAATCTGGCAGTCGTTAGATCATGGCTATGCAAGATGATATCGACGATGATGGGAAGATTTACCTGAAACCTATCGCGCTTCCAGGACAGTGAACATAGCATTCTTTTGTATCACTTTTAAAGGTGTAATTGTTTAGCGCTAATGAGGGAATTGAATATAGCAGGGTTATACAAACTTTGTAAAATCTACTATTTTGGAGGGAATTCCAAAGTTGGGTGGTATGAGAAAAAAAGCAGAAAGATAAGTGTTGTGACCTGCAGTGTGGTGGTTTGATGCAGTATGGATGAGAGGAGACAGTGTCTGGTAGACTTGAGCCCTCAACATTGGTGGAGGAATCAAGATGTGAAGTTCATTGGCACGGTAACCATGGTAGTTGTGATAGGATAGTGAAGAAGACGACTGACCACCAGTGAGCCAGTGGTGACTGGAGGGAACTGGTGATGGCTGGATTTGTTCAATCAAATTAGACGGTCGCAGTGCAACATTGGTGTGAGCACAAACTGCATTGTGGGTAATACAGGCTTCCATCAGTCCTTGCACGTAATAAATGTGATATAACATTGATAAATATACATCATCCATACACTGTCAGTTAATAAATACATTAAGTCTGTGTATTTATCCATAATGCAATAACAACACAATTATTTTTCACCCGATATTGCTTTATTTTGTAATTAACCAGACCCCTTATTTGAAAAGAGAGTGCTCTTGCCAATAATTTCTGGCAACCCACCGATATTTGTTTCACAGGTTCTAACTCTGCTGAGTATACACAGACAGTCGAAACCATTTACACAAATATTTGCTCACGTAAGCAAATGCTGCTGGATGAGTCTGGTCTAGAAAGACCAACAGCTGATGAGGCGAAAATACTGAAATTTCATGTAGAGACAAACATTTGTTTACTGTTCTGCCTGTACAAATATATTAGCAGCAATTTGAGTGCACGCGAAACAATGTATGTGCTGATAACAGTACACAATGCAGTGCCATGTGTACTGTACAGTGCAATAGTTTCCTGACAATCCACTTTTGCAGCAATATAAATTGTTGAACTGTGTACCCAAACGCTCCTACGGGTCTACGCTCTCCAACTTCACCACCCCATGCACTGTTGAGCATAAAGTATGGTCAATAACGTCAATGACCCGCACAGCGTGGGGAGGATCTCATCCAGCAGTGAACTGACCAAGGGCTGTACATATATATGCGATATTTTACCACGTGAGTTGACAATCCATTGTTGTAAATTAGAGGTACGCCAAAAATGAAAGGAGATACATTTTCGGATGATAGGCCTCACGGTTTCCAATGACAATTTTGTAACTGTGAACCTGGATTATTTTCATACTCTGAAATCATTAGCAAACCATCATAATCACGATCCATGGGCAGATAACCCATAGGTGTCCACTGCACATTTTATCATTTGTTTACACTTTCCTGTCTTGTGCCAATATGCTCAAGTAGTGCCACATCTTTCTGGCACCAATATCTTTCGTCGTAAAGTCACTCTCTGTTAGGTCTCCCTCGCTTTACAGTTCCTTCCAGACCATACTTGGCTTCAATTCCCTCCCTCCAAATAAAAAAGTAAACGTAATAGGCCATACCCAACAACGTGGGGTTTCGTGTAATAAAACCGGCTGTATGTTTGTTGAAATGCATACGTATGTCTCTTTCTTCATCTGCTAATAAGATAAACACAGTGTATCTATTATATTTTTTTTATATTGTGGCTCTAAAGAGGGATTTGGTGATTGCAGTGAAGTCGCCCAATCCCTAATGTCTCCGGCCACCACTACCAACTGGTGCGCTCGCACACTGCCTCCACCCTCTTCCATAACCTCCAGCACGACCCAAATAAGCCCAACCCAGTGTCCTGAGGAAGAGGCAGGGCCTTAACAGAGAGGCGGGGCCGAAAGAAGAAGAGGTGGGCCCTGAAAAGGAAAGGCGCAGAACCAAAAGAGGGAAGTGCTGAAAGGGGCCCGATCATGAAGGGTTAGGGCCAAATCAGGAAGGGATGGGGCCCAAGGAAGAAAGGGATGTGCCTACAGAGGTCAGATTTTCTATTGATTTAAGGTAATAGAAGCATAGACTCATATACGTGCAGGCAGTACCACAGATGCGGCCACAAGCCAACTAATTTAATGTAAATGTAGGCACTAAAAAGAATCAACCTTTTGCTTGGCTCTTACCATAACAATCTGGCACGCATGTTGGCAATGGACGGCAACATGTATGGCAATCTGGTGGTGGAAGCTGACAATTCCTAACAACGTGAAACTGTTTGCAATGACCGTGGTTCTGTACTCACCCCTGAGTGCGAAGTGCCGCCAACATGATCGGTGTCCGCCCGTGCTTGTCAAGCAGATCAATGTCCTGCAAGATAGACACACATTGTCACCGCTAGAGCCCCGCTTATTCCATCACACGTTCAGGAATCACAGTCACAAGTACCCGTGACTCAACATCGCACATTAGAAATTTACTTTGCTTCAGAAAGAAAAAATACATTGACTTTGCAGAAATCTGAACTAAATATTTTAAAAGTAACTTTGTAATTTAGTTATACACAGATAATAACAATACTGTGCATATTTTATTGTTAAGATTGTCCACAGCTTAGAATCATTTTGGTTTGCCCAATAACGAGAAAGCAGATATCATGCATGACGTCATGTACAACCAAATAAGTCAAATGACGGACAACAATCTCCATATTACACTGATACAGGATGTGAAGAATTACATATTTCTTGAATTACAGTATTTATTTATTATATCACCTATTAATGTGAATTACAATCAGCAAATTTTATACATATATATTCTTGGGTCTTTCGGTAAAGTCACGCAGATAGGTTCAAAGAAAATAACAAAAAATAACTAAAAACTACGACGTTTCGATCGCAACACAAGCCATCGTCATCAAGAGAAAACATAGCGGGAGAGCTGCTGAGGCAGGATGTTTTAAACGGTTTGAAATGTGTGTAGCCCAAGGGTCATAAGCGAAGTGGGCGGGGCTAGTGATGTTAAAGTAAGATCGGAGAGCTACCTCCACGACAACGGAGCTGCGGAGGTGGCTATTGTATTGTGAGAGATTAGCATGTCAATGACGATTTGCTTGTGTTGCGATCAAGACGTCAGTAGTTTTTTTGTTATTTTTTGTTATTTTATTTGAACCTATCTACGTGACTTTAACGAAAGACCCAAGAATATTAATTCCTGCAAACACTGAAAGCTTTAAGTCAAGATTTTATACATATAAATACTGTACAGGGTGTTTAAAAAAGATGGACCCGATTTGAAATCGCTATATCTCTGCTACCACGAACCGCCCATGAATGAAACTCTTACCACTCGAAAGGATGGGGCATAGAGAGGGCGGGGCATAACGTTTCAAATGATTACCGCTAGATGCCTCTCCCAGCGCAGAAACAGCCCCTAGCCTCAGTCATTCGCACGGGACCCCAAGACTTGGCGCTACACTCTTGGCCCCCAAGATCCCCAGACATCACACCCCGAGACTTTTTCTTGTGGGGATACGTCAAAGACCGTGTTTTTGTGCCACCATTAGCAACTAATCTGGATGACCTCAAAAACAGAATCACCGCAGTGGTGACTTCAGTGGAAGAAGAGACTTTGAAAGGCGTTTGGGATGAATTCAACTATCGTCTCGATGTTGTCCTACAGCAGGTGGAGGGCACATAGAGCATTTATAAAATGGTTAGTAAAACTTGATAACTCATTAAACCGTTTGTAACTTTTTGTGTAATTGTAACATGTTGCCCTCATAAAATATACTGCTTTGAAATTGGGTCCATTCTTCTGAAACACCCTGTATATAAAATCAAAAACCTCTGAATTTCCACAACATGTACGAGAAAGAATATTTTCAAAGGCAATATTCTTTTGTGTCAGCATCAATATACTTCAGTGTCTGAAATCTGATCCGTTATAATTAAACTTGGAGGCACGAGCAATGCAAAGGAGCCCAATGGACCCAACTGACCGAGACATCTCTCTCACCTGGCCCTTTGCGAGCAGATAGGCAATGATGTGAGGATGGTCGAACTGCGCGGCTGTGTGCAGGCACGAGCCGCCCTCGTCGTCCCACAGGCCAGGGTCTCCACCAAAGGACATGAGCAATACCGCCATCTCCAGATGCCCCTGCCTGCAATGGATAACGGGCCAACGGGAGGTGGAAAGACTGAGCAACGGTTGAGTAAGGGGGTCACCAGGGGGAAGTTAAGAAAAGAAAGAGATCCAATATAATCAGGAATTGTGTTAGGACTAACTCTTTGTGCAGTTAGCCAATTGGCAGGTTACTTGTGTGTGTGTGGGGGGGGGGGGAGGGTAAAGTGTGGGCAATCCCTATTTCTTTGAATATATCTGACAGCCCAGGCTCAGGGCAAATGATAAAATGAAGGACGTGGAAAAAATATAGAATTATGGGTCGCATGAGCTGAGCACACACTCTGCACTTACTGCATATATACCTAAACATTACAAATACAGTAGAATGCATTTGTAGTGACATCGGGGATGTCACTGTAATGTAGCCGGCCTGAGAGGGCCAGGGCACGCAATGCACCGTCATCGCAGACACCCTGTGAGCGGGTGTAGTACCAGCCTTAGCGGGGCTTGGTGAGCACTGGATAGTGTGGGCACCACACATAGCGTGCGGTGGGGGCTCCTACAAGAGGGAGCGGGAGAGTGTCAGCCCAAGGGCAGGGTTGCCCCAGGCCATGACACTCTGGTTGACCCTGCAGACACGTGATCTGGAGTGTCCATAGAGAGGCCCCCACGTGGGGGGACTAGGGGGTGATCACGTGTCCAGGGAGAGCTCTCGAGAGGGATCGAGAGGGAGCTAGAAGGCTCCAGAAGGGGGCGGGGCCAAGGGGACGGAGCAGCCCCGACCGTAGGGGGATATAAGGAGGGTCCCTGAGAGGGACCGAGGTCGCTGCATTCTACAAGCTGAAGCTCTACATCCACCAGCTGAAGCCCTACATCTCAAGCTGGAAGCTCTACGTCCTTCGAGGCAAACACTTGGTCGCGGACCCGAGTCGGGACCCAACCCTTCGTAGCAGTAACTCCTCTGTATAGAGTAGTTAGCTGGGTGGTCACCACCCTAGGCTGTATCTGGTGAAGGGGCAGTTACCCCTTTGTGTTACAAATAAATGTGTAGCCTCTAAAAGGAACAACGTCTGCAACTCAGTTGGTCTCACTACACATTGATGAAAACATTTTCTAAAATAGACGCGCTGGTAATGTGATATATTTCATGAGAGTAGAATGTAAATATGTTGTGTGGATAAGAGATTAACAGTGGTAAAAAGAGGAGACTGGGTAACTCCGATGTGAAATTGTCGAGCTGGCGCCACTGAGACCGTGGAGTTCAATCCAGGCAGCCCCCTGGGATCGAACTGTGTTCTCTAGTCTGGTGCGTTGATGCTCTCGGTCAAGTTACCAATCACTTCCTAAAGAAGCGCCACATTCTAGCTCTGATAACTAAAATCTAGGAACCAAATAATGTTGAAAGAAGGAGAAATCAAGACGAGGAATGCTGAGGGGCCAACAAAACAGGATCTGAGATTAAATCAGATGTGCAAGGGCAATACATGGAGCAGTATCAACACACAGAAATCCAATACATTCCTGAGACCAGAGGCCTGAAGGTTCCATGAATTGCCTCCTTGCTAAATAATGACCATTGCTCTAAGTGTTACTCTATGAATATTTCAAACTGCCACCAATACGGTGGCATCGGGCCGTAATCACTCCACAAGGATTGCGCTGTTGATGTTAAATAGTGACAATCTCCACAGAACCTTACCTGACAGCCCAGTGCATTGGCGTGGCATTCAAAACCCCCGCAAACTGGTTCACAACAGCTCCTTTCGACAGGTAAAACCTGGACAGGCACAGAAAACAGTGTTATCACCAGAATGGATACCGCTCACATACGCTTACTTTGTATGGCATAGCCACATTCTTGATACAGAGATGATGGAAGAGTAGGGACGCGGAGGGGATGTCACGTGGGAAAAAGACGAGGGCATAGGTGTGTGCATGGACAGGTATGGATGTACACGCATGGCTTCAGTGGGTGCTGCTCCTGAAGTTGTGCCTGCCACTCGGCGCAGGCGAGACAGCGTGCGGTGAGACGGTCTGGTGCCAATGCCTCCGCTGGGACTCGTGGACAGGGTCAGAGTCAATTCTAGAGATGGGATGGATTCGTCCATTAAGCTGACTAATCGACCCAAAATTGTAAACAGCTACGATTTTGTGATCAACTTCTCAGGTACCAACAGCCTGCCTACTGAAGGTGGAAACTCACCCCCCCACCGCAAGCCATGCCCAGCATGACGTGACCGTTATCCCAATGACGTAATCAAGCCCTGCCTAGCACCTCCCGTTCAGTGGCACACGTGGAAACAGAAGTGGGATATTTTTTACCCCAACTACTTACGTGTTATCCGATTAGTCATGCAACTCAACTGCTTATCGTTGGAAGTCGATTACTTTATTAACCAGATAGCTCAGCTCTAATCAATTCACTGCCTTTTGCATTCAAATACCTACACTGCAGACTTGGCCAACAGTGACGGTGAATGCCCTCTTCACAAAAGAGAATTGCACACTTACTCAAAGGCAACATATTTGTTGCAGGGGAACTAACCATGGTGATAATAAAGTGAAAGCTTGTTAAAAAAATGATGAAATACCATCCCGCACTTCATTGTGAAATTTTGTGGTGAATATTAAGACTAATCACGTCTCTTTAAGTCCGGTTATTTGGATGATAAGCTGGTAATTCTGAGGCGTGCATGAATATCCTCGCAACAGTTAGCCGTAAACAAGCTGGGACATTCAGATTAAATTGGGCTTTTTAGTAATCCCAAATGACACACAAAATCTTGTTTGGAATATGGTGACCCAAGGCATGGGAGGTAATGTTGCCTGACTTATTGGTGAGGAGGGAGATGCATAACAATGCACAAATCAGAGAGCAGAAGTTTCCAGTGAGTTGTTACTTTAAAATAAATACCGACGTTTCGGCCACAACGCAAGCAGCCGTCCTCAGGTGAAAACCAGGTCTGTCGAGGCGACAGAGTCTGAATGAAACAGCACACGGGCTTGGAGCATATATATAAGCTGGGCGCATTGACAAAGGAATTTGCATATCAACAGGAATTTAGCATATTTATGGGAAATGCAGGAATGTAATTAGTACTGCATATGCATGTGCATTATGCAGGATTAACAGCATCAAAGGGAGCTGCAGTTACTGCTGCTGCAGTAGTTGCTGCTGCTGCTGCAGTTTCTGCTGCTGCTGCAGTTGCTGCTGCTGCTGCTGCAGTTGCTGCTGCTGCTGCACCGGATTCCCACCACCATCCATCCCAGAAGAATTCCCTCATCAAGACTCTATATCATAGAGCCCAATGCATCTCCGACCATGAACACATTTCCAGTGAACTCAAACACGTAGGCCAAGCTCTTAAGGCTAATGGTTACTCCGACTACACAATCCGCAAAGCCATCACTCCAACCATCAAGAAGGATCCTGTTGAGGAGCCTTTCAAGACCATCACCTTACCCTACATTGCTGGGGTCACAAAAAAGATCTCCAAAATCCTGATTAAACACAAGATCCAGGTCCGATTCAACACAGTACATAAAATCCGTGATCTGGTCCCGTCTGTAAAAGATGTGGTTCCAGACATACAGTACCCTGGCGTCTACAAACTAAGTTTCCTCTGTGGTAGCAGTTACATTGGAGAAACCAAACGACATGTCTCGGACCGCATCCGTGAACATAAGGCAGACCTGAAACACGGTAGGACAAACACCTCAGCCGTGGCAGATCACTGTTACAATTCAGTGGGCTCACATGACATTGACTTCTCCAAGACAGAGGTTCTCTGCAAGCCATCTGGCTATCATGAGAGATTCGTTCATGAGGCGATCCACATATACAAACACAGAGACAATTTCAACCGAGAAGATGGATTCTGGCTTAGCAATCATTGGAAGGACGTAATAAACCATTTCGGATCTTAACTGATTGTGTTCACGTTAACGGTGACTTTCAGACCGCGTTCCACTCACTGGCATGGTGCAGTGTGCAGAGTAATGTATGGTGTCGTAATTGTACAGTAAACATATAGCAGTATGATACACATTAGGGTGGGTAGAATAATACATAGTGTTATATTAAAATGGATAAGGCAGCAACTGCAGCAGCAGCAGCAAGTGCAGCAGCAGCAGCAAGTGCAGCAGCAGCAGCAAGTGCAGCAGCAGCAGCAACTGCAGCAGCAGCAGCAACTGCAGCAGCAGCAGAAACTGCAGCAGCAGCAGCAACTACTGCAGCAGCAGTAACTGCAGCTCCCTTTGATGCTGTTAATCCTGCATAATGCACATGCATATGCAGTACTAATTACATTCCTGCATTTCCCATAAATATGCTAAATTCCTGTTGATATGCAAATTCCTTTGTCAATGCGCCCAGATTATATATATGCTCCAAGCCCGTCTGCTGTTTCATTCAGACTCTGTCGCCTCGACGGACCTGGTTTTCACCTGAGGACGGCTGCTTGCGTTGTGGCCGAAACGTCGTGAGAATTGTTTTATTATGTTTTATTTTTATTATTTTATTACTTCCCTTCTACGTGACTTTACCGAAAGAACCAAGAAGATGAATCCCTGCAGTCACGAAAGCTTTAAATCGAAAAATAAATACCGACGTTCAATGAACATTGTAGAGTCTAACAGCATTTCAGGGCTACATGGCAGCTAGAAATGTCACGTTATGTTAAACTAGCGGTGTACAATCTACTGCCCACGGGCCGGAAAAAGAGCCCACAGTGTGGTTTTGACGAACATGCGACCAACAGCGGCACACCTATGCTCGGCGGACACCTCGGCGGGCTGATTACTAGGCTACCATGCCCACTTGCATCGAAGAGGGTGAGGTCACGTCTGTGAATATAACCACATGGCCTTCTTGGCCTGCGGGGATTTAAGAGACTCTGTAGGTGGCCCTCGCCTGGAATAGGTTGCACAGCCATATATTAAAACCCGTCGACTAGAATACAAAGTTAACTAGCATATGTGAGACATCGTATCCAATTTTCAATTAAAATCAATTATTACGCTACATAATAAATGCATTGAATGGTGCGTGTAAGAATCCAATTGCTCGGATAACTTGTATAAGGCATCAGGTTCATGTGACCCTTGCTGCTTCTAGAGAGCACACAACATTTGCTGCAAGAGAAAATTTAAAATAATTATCGATTGTAGAATGAAAAAGCGATCGTGAATCCGTCATCGTCACAGGCCACGAGGCTGCTCTAATCGCAAACGCAAGCCACTTGGACCACATTTGAGGCACACACACGGTAGTACGTGGGCTGTTCTTGCAAGAATGTTTTAAGGAACACAATGTTGTGTGTGGGGTGGGAGGTTTATTTCACATCGGCTCTCCATATAGTAATAAAGAGGTATTACAAATATATCCGTAGAGATTAATTCCCAACACACTACTTTTTTTGGTATGACTATGTAAAAAGTATTTGTAATGGTGCAATCTAAGACAGATGTCTGGGTAGAATTTAACGTGTGAGCAAAAGTGAAATGTGGTAAATTTAGTACCGAGACTGCACCTAACACTGATGCAAAATAAGACCATGCAAGTACAATTGTGCAGTGCATTGTCAATCCACTGCTGGATGACGGCCTCACCATGCCTTGCCATGCAGACATGAGAGATGTTTTGAATGTGCGGCAGACATACGATACTGTGTTTGAATGTCCACAATCGCCTACCTAAGCAGATGCTCTTTGGTCTGTTAGAATAAGGAAAACATTTGCAAGGAGAAGGGCACAAGGTACAAAAATGATCTGAAGCAGACGATGAAAAGTTGCCGCACTTAAAATATTGGAGCAGGTAAGAGTTTAGTGGGGAGCCAAGACACACGAAGGAACAATATGTTTCGAAAACTGGCGACGAGTAAGCAATAAAACAGCAGCCGGTGAAATAATACCAGATCACACGCTGCCTACCCCGCACCGACCCACACGGGCATCAGAGACTCCACGGGAAAGAGACAGCAACCACCGTGATGGCAAAGCGATCGTCGATATCGACAGAGACGAAGAAGAACACACTGCAAACACGCACTTGGCCACGTCTATGCGGTTGTTGATGGCGGCCCAGTGAAGCAGGGAGATGCCCTCGGCGTCCGGCTCCCGCACGTCTTTCCCGGCCTCCACGAGCTCGCGACATCGCTCCAGCAAACCATACCTGGCGGGCGGAGAGAAGCGGCACGCGCCCACATCTCTCAAATCAAACGTGCTGGTTTTTATTTCGAATCGAGTACTTGAACTCTGTTTAAAAGAGACACAGATCTATGCGGGATACTGAACTCCAAATAATGTCATGCCTCATGCTCAGTCGTCAATGTGCATTGTTATATCCAGATCTTACAGCAGCCAGGGCCACGTGGCACTAGATTACATCGGCATGCATTTGGATCTGCACACAGCTGCCAAAGTGAGTGTGTCCAGTCGGCAGCACGTGGTGACCCGATTGGCCCATGCACCAAGACGGCCCTCGCAGGCTTTGCGCTGTCCAGCCCGTCTACTTGAAACTCGTTACCGGTTGCTCTCGGGAATGTGTCACTGTCAGCCAGTTCCGCAGTAGACTCAAAACGTAAATGTTCTCTGAATCTTACAATGCTTAAAAATAGCACCTTTGCAATAGCGTATGTGCTCTAAGAATGCCAGTGAAGATCAAATGTACCGATGCAGGATTATGACGGCTATTTACTGGGTCACATATGTACGGACCACAAGTGCCAGACTTTAATTCGGTGCTAAAAAGCCGAAAACTCTCACACTGGGCTTCTCAGCAGAAATATCCCCATGTGACGTGAAATGGCACACTCTTGATACCTGCAGGGCTGGAATAATTTAATTACAAAAAAATCCCAACCAGCAGAATATGACACATGTGCAGCCTTTATTGCGATTCCAACCCTGCGTGATGCCCCATCTACACCGTGCAGCCGTGGGGGTTGACAACACTTCACTGTGAGGAGCATAGACGTGGGCGCATAGCAGTGGTTTTACGCAATGCCCTCTATATAAAGACACAAATACAAACAGCAAGCAATAGAATAATAATATACCTTGCTGCACTACAGAAACAGATTATTATTAATTGAATGTCGTCAAATTTGCCTCATTTGCATACGAATACACGATAAGACAATGCACAACCAAAACCTGAAATTATGCATCCCAGGACGTTTCTGTGGATGTAGCTGCAAATTCCAAAGAACTGGAAAACCTGGTTTTATGCAGCCGGACCAGCTGCTGCAGTGCTTCTATTTAAAGCGCTAAACCTGGCCTCATCACAAGTCAAACATTGCGAAATAGCTGAATACAACAGGGTTTGGGATGGCAACAATTGAACTCACGGGAAGAAAAAAACGTATTTTATTCGCAAGACGTTAACATGCTGTATTCCGATTTAAAGCTTTCGTGACTGCAGGGATTCATATTCTTGGTTATTTCGGTAAAGTCACGTAGAAGGGAAACAATAAAATAATAAAAATATGAAACAATTAAATTCTCACGACGCTTCGACTACAACACAAGCAATCATCATCAGGTGTGAAAAACACAGCAAGAAAATTTGAAAAAAGTGGCGGATTTTTTTTGCTAACGTAAAGAAAAAACCCGCCACTTTTTTCAAAATTTCTTGCTGTGTTTTTCACATTGCTTGTGTTGCAGCCGAAACATCGTGAGAATTTTATTTTTTATATTTTTATTATTTCATTGTTTCCCTTCTACGTGACTTTACCGAAAGAACCAAGAATATGCTGTACAGTATTCCGTTGTATGTGGTTGGAAAGCCTATCCAAACGCTTAGCAACTGATGTCCTTTACTCGGGAAAGGCTCACTAAGCTTTACGACTCATTTACAGCTGGATCCCCACCTTGAAATAAATTGGCCGGTGCGATTAAGGGAGTGGTTTTGCAATATGGGAGAAAAAAAACAAGTCCCTTAAAAAGAGCCGATGCAAATGAGGGGGGATACAACTGAAAGCTCCACAGAGAGAGATTTGAGACCAAACTTAACACATTCCTAATTCCTGGCCGCTTGGCAGCTAAAGTCTACAATACCAAGTTTGCTCAGTTATTAAGATGACATGTTGATCTGCTCCTCTTTCTATCAAATCGGGGTTCTACACTTGAAAATTGTGACATTGACTGCCATTGTCACAGGCAATATGAAGTGGCCCAAGCGTGAAGGTTGCTGACTTAGTCTCTCCCGGTGATCTGTGGTTAAGGTGAAGTGAGTATATTTGACATTAAAGTCATGACCAATGTCTACAAGCAAATCGGATCAGATGACATCTGTAGTTTATTTGTTTAATATTGAATTGCTGATAAAAACAGAACTGAGTGGGTTTTTACGTGTTGCTTATAATGTGTTCTCCATTACAAAACCCTCTTTTCTGTGGCATCTTATTTGGTTACTTTCACAGAAAAGAGACATTTCCTATAAGTAGAGTTTCTCTTGGATGGCAAGAAGATATTTTTAGACAAATAGCTGGTTCCCAAGTGGCATCCACATGTCGCCACAGTTAATGACTCACTTGCGCAGAAAGCTATTTTCTGGTAACAACAAAGCAACGTGTGCTGTTATCAAATAGTTGGGAGCGTTGGTGACCATGTACATTATAGTTGAATGTGGCCTTCATGTACGTGGAGTTAAACGATGAATCTCGCGCAGCGGTCTTCATTGCAAGGCCTGCGGGTCACTGGTGGCCTTTAGTGCGGCCCATGAGGTGCGGCCGATGAGGTGCAGCCCCCGACAATACACAAATGTGAAAACACCCCCATCATGCTGTCAAACCCAATAGTTAAAAATGTGTGGCGGCCTCAAACTCGTGATGTGTTATCGGCAGAAGTGGCCCCCCTCTATGAAAATTAGTGAAGAACACTGATCTACCGCATTAACGAAGCCAGTTGGTTGTAACCGTGCAACAGGAATACTCACTGAGTGGCCTTGACAATGTCCCACGTACGGATGTCGACTCCAACTTCCTGCTGCCACCTCTGAGGCTGCTCTTTGTTTCCGTGCTCACAACCCATCTGCACACAGCATCACACAGCATCGGCAACACCGGCGTACGCACGCGGACAAATTTAAATCAACCACTTAGAGCAAACACACTTCTCTTCCTGCTTCTGTCCTTGTGTCATGACAATAGAGGCCTTCATGCGGCGTGAGGGGACTCGTCGCCACGGGAGGTAATGACAGGGGAGTCAGTTGTGGGTGCGAAGGGACCGGTGGCTACGGGAATATTCGAAAAGGGAGCGTGGTTAGGTGACGGAAGATGACAATATGACGGTAGCGTCTGCCGGTGGAGCGAGCGTCCAGTCAGCGAGAATGATCGAGAAGGGATGCGTGGCCTCGGTTGGTATAAAAGGGAGATGCGCGGGAGACTCAGGGCTGTTGCAGTGGGGGGGTCTCTGCCTGATGTCAAGTGAACGTGTCTTCAATAAAGTGCCATCTCAAGAGAAGTGTGATAAGTCGTCATTACACTTGCACTGCTCGATTTTGGAATTTCCTCCCACGGTCCCCCCCCCCCCCCCAAGTTCTTAGAACCTTGCTCAATTCAAGAAATATATCACCGGTTACGCCTTCAATAATGCTGTTTTGTTGTTAGCCCCTTGACATTTGGGGCCTGTGGTACCCTGTGCTCATCAACCATGATTAAAAAAGAATATATTTCGTTTCAAACCTTTTGTTTTACAATATTTAACCGATTATTACATATCACCCATCTAATACATTATAATTTTCAACGCTTTGTCAATCCACTCGTGGATTAATTCCTCCTCATGCCATGCCCATCTTGAAGGTTGTTTGACCATACTTCGCCACACTGGTCAGTGCTGACTGGTGAAGGAGGGGGCCCAGGACTGGTTCAGGGTATCACGTGCCATTGATTTTAGTCGTGGCTGGGAGTTAAACTCGGCTTCCCATGTTCAGAGCGCAGTGTGGAAACCAATACTGTATCAGCACCACTCCACCCAGTGAAGACTCATCACGATGGACTCCGATGACAATGTATGATAATGAGAATGATGAAGACGGATGATAGAGACGATGATGATCACGTTAATGACGAGGGTATCACACACCACACTACTTCCATATCCCTGTTAGCTGCGACCACGCGTCCCAACTGGGCTCTACTGCACCAAGACCCGGCAGAGTGGGGGGGGGGGGTCATTGCTGCTGTTGCATTTGCGTGCCATTTTCGCAGTCCATGGCAATAGCTCTGCGCGTCGCTTTAGCGTGAGGACGCGCAGTTACGGTCAAGAGAGCACTTTCAATAGAAATCTACAAACAGTACTGGCTAATGCCACGAATTCGGACGTACATTTCAGATACTTAACAAGCGCGGCTGATCACGAGTGCAATCGTGAAGTGTTCGTTTTACTCGGGCAATGTATACGACCCATTAGAGGACTGTAATTCAGGTATTACAAAAAATATAATTTGTATCTTTCTCGATGAGGGACAAATGCTCAAAATACAAAGCTGTCAGATGAAGTTGAGTTTTTTTAACCCACGCCTGGATCGTGAACGTGAAATTCAGTTTCGTGAACGCGCGTCAAAAACTACCGGTATATTTTTTCTAAAAATAAAGACGACTGCCTTTGAAGTTCCAACTCCACGTACATTAAAAACAAATGGCTGTTGCGTTCAGAGTAGGGCGTAAAGCATACGAGGCGGCCACCTCAGCCGAACCGTAAAATCGAATCGTAAAAATACATCGTCATGTTCTTTTTAGGAATTTGACGTAAAGATCGCGGAAGTGTTTTACCCCAAAGCTCGTGGACACACTTGCACCGTCTATTGGATACAGGTCACGGAAACTGGCCGCTTCTTTTCCCCAAGCAAATCACACGAGCACCATTTCCACGTGCACCGCATGCCCAGAAACACGCGTGTGCTGACCCCGTGCGCCGGACTCTGCACGTGCCATCACTCGCAATTGCCTTGTGAACGCAGAGGACAAGTAACTTGACTTTACAACCCCTTGGTAAATCATAACCTCCTCACCACCACCACCACCACAACAACTCCAGACGGTTTACTCCACGATAAGGCCATCCCGTACAGCCACGTGGGTCACAATTGGCCGCAGCCCTCAACATCCCGCCGTGCCAGTCCTCATCACAGGCACGGCTCAAGCCAACGGGTGGCAAACGCGATAATAGCGTGATGCCAGGCACGGCGAATCGTGGAAGTGGGGGACCACGCTCACGACAGCTGTAGGTGTGCGAGACACAGTACACCTTAGCCCATCCCAAACATCGTAACCCTAAACCACTGTACAAAGTGCTCCAGATGGTCTTGTGACCCACCCATTTCATTCTCTAAAACGTAATGAAGTTGCATTCCAATGGGTGTGAAAAACAGAAAATGAATAAGCAAAGGGGAAAATAAATGTTAGGGATCAATTAATTGGGGGCCACAAGACAGCTGGACCACACTGTACAGCGCTTTTATTGAGAACCGGCTGGTACACATGCAATGCATTTGCCAGTGGTATTCGGGCCGAACGATTAATCGATTTAAAATCGAAATAGTAGTTTGAAACAATGCGATTAGCAAATCGCAAAGGCTGCGATTTTTTTTGCGCTTTGAAAAGTCCTTTTACTTTCTTATTGGAATTGTTTTATTTATTATTATAACTTTACTTATTTAACTTAATTGTTCAATGTTTGATTGTTCTATTGCAATACAAACATTTTAATAAATACATGTTGGAAGCAATTCATATATCTTAAGTTATCATCCTTGCATTAGAAGATATAGAGCAGTTCAAATTTTGATGGTACCATGTGATAATGCTCCATCACGTGTTTTAATATATCACACAGTGAATATTGAACTGAAGTTTAACTTAAACAAATTTAATCGCAAATCAAATCGCAATGTCAGAAAAATGCAATTAGATATGTTCCCCAAATCATTGAGCCATAAGTGGTACTACTCTCGTGGTATAAGCATAGTAGGGTAATAGAGACGCACGACAATTGAGACACATGGCGTAGATTGCAATTAAATTGGTTGATCGAGCCCCAGTGCTCGAGACGAGGGCGACACGCCGGCCAGTTCGCTCACCTGTCCCCTTGATGCCGGAGCGCGCGGCTCCTCCGCACACTGGAACCTCACGCCTGGATGGGTCCTCACGCTGAGATCTCACCTTGAGACCCCACTCACGCCGGTGAGGGGGACCTGGATTCACCAATATCTCCGGATCTCACGCTGAGATCTCACGCTGGGACCCCACTCACGCTGGAGGGGGGACCTGGATTCACCAATATCTCCGGATCTCACGCTGAGATCTCACGCTGGGACCCCACTCACGCCGGTGGGGGGGACCTGGATTCACCAATATCTCCAAATCTCACGCCGTGATCTCACGCTGGGACCCCACTCACGCTGGGGGGGGGGGGTGCTGGATTCCCCAGGATCTCCGGGTTTCACGCCGTGATCTCACGCCTCGTGCCTGGCTGCTGCTGCTGCTGTTGCCGCACGCACTTCCTCGTTTCACTCTGCGTGAGTGGAGGCGGTGGGTGGCCACTCCTTCCCGCAGTGTCACGCCACATGAGAGGATTGCACTCTTTGCTGTTGGGGAAAACAAAGATCCAACCTGTCTCGTCGTGACGCGACTGCGAGGAACAACACTGAAAGGCTCGAAGCGACACTTTTGAAAGGGACACGAACCCCCCATTGTGGTCCTGTGGTCAGCAACCGTGGTTATGAAGGAAACAACACAATTGGGGAATGATTTATATTATAAATAACAGCCATTTGCCAATCCAATGCTGGCTAGATAGCGCGCGCCTTGCATCGTTCAATTAGCGTAACTTTTCCGCGCTTCAGGTAGAGCTTTAAACACGCACACTTAGCGAGGTACGCGTTTTTAGTTCAGGTAAGATATGCTTTTGGGGCTATCTTCATGCTGTTACATAGACGCTGACAGTTACAACCACATCACTGCCGATGCGCACAGCTGAGTGAATTCGCCGCCTGTTGTGATGGGAAGGGCAGTCGCGCATGCGGTCCGGTGAAAAAAGTGTAACGAGTTGTGCCTGTCACGTGAGCCGCACCACACTGCACATTCACATTGGCGTTCACACGCACGGGCGCGATGATACACGTTGTAGCCACAGCTGATTTAGCAAGCGGGGTTTTTGTTTTGTTTTTTTGCCTCTCTACGTCGTAAAAAATATAATATGCTTCCATCTAAACTTTATTCTCTTACATCACACGAGTCTACACCGTACTATATACTGCCATAGACAAACCCAACATTAAATGATATACTGTATTGCTATTAACCACCCTAAACCTTATACATTGTAATATTACACTATGTATTATTCTACCCACCCTAATGTATATCACACTGCTGTATATTAACTATACAATTACGATACTATATATTACTTTGTACATTGTATTAAGCATATACATTTTATACTATTTGTTATTTTACACTGTACCATTGACCGTCGTGTGAAAGATACTAAGAGGAAGCAACGAAATATGCCAATGGGAGAGTAGAAGTGGGAAACTTGCAGCGGAGCAAAGAATCCATTCCCCGCAAAGAATACAATGCCAGTGAGTGGAAAGCGGTCTGAAAGTCACCATAAACGTGAACACAATCAGTTAAGATCCGAAATGGTTTATTACGTCCTTCCAATGATTGCTAAGCCAGAATCCATCTTCTCGGTTGAAATTGTCTCTGTGTTTGTATATGTGGATCGCCTCATGAACGCATCTCTCATGGTAGCCAGATGGCTTGCAGAGAACCTCTGTCTTGGAGAAGTCAATATCATGTGAGCCCACTGAATTATAACAGTGATCTGCCACGGCTGAGGTGTTTGTCCTACCGTGTTTCAAGTCTGCTTTATGTTCACGGATGCGGTCCGAGACATGTCGTTTGGTTTCTCCAATGTAACTGCTACCACAGAGGAAACTTAGTTTGTAGACGCCAGGGTACTGTATGTCTGGAACCACATCTTTTACAGACGGGACCAGATCACGGATTTTATGTACTGTGTTGAATCGGACCTGGATCTTGTGTTTTATCAGGATTTTGGAGATCTTTTTTGTGACCCCAGCAATGTAGGGTAAGGTGATGGTCTTGAAAGGCTCCTCAACAGGATCCTTCTTGATGGTTGGAGTGATGGCTTTGCGGATTGTGTAGTCGGAGTAAGCATTAGCCTTAAGAGTCGAAAAAGATGGCAAGCTACCCTTTTTGGATGTCCTAATCAAAAGGAGACCTGATGGTTCAATGAGCCACTCTGTCTACAGGAAAGCCACCCACACGGATGCTTACCTAAAACCGGATTCCCACCACCATCCATCCCAGAAGAATTCCCTCATCAAGACTCTATACCATAGAGCCCAATGCATCTCCGACCAGGAACACATTGCCAGTGAACTCAAACACGTACGCCAAGCTCTTAAGGCTAATGGTTACTCCGACTACACAATCCGCAAAGCCATCACTCCAACCATCATATACGCTGCCAAGCCTGGTGGTGTTCATTCAGACGCTGTCTTTCTGACAGACCTGTTCTTCACCTGAGGACGGCTGCTTGCGTTGTGGCCGAAACGTCGTGAGAATTATGTTATTATGTTTTATTTTTATTATTTTATTATTTCCATTCTACGTGACTTTACCGAAAGAACAAAGAAGAAAAAGTTAATATACACCTTTGCCTGAGTCACTCAAACACACAAATAAAACAATGCGTCACTTGTGGTGGTGTTTTTCAGTGCTGCATACAATTGCCGGCGACTGAGACATTTGGTTTGTTTGAGATGCAATGTAATGAATATGGACTTGCAATGCAGAGGTCGCCGTTTTGATTGGTTCAGCTGACCATGTAATCTTTCTCACAGATGTCCAGTAGCTGGCCGTCCATAAATGACGTCACGCGATTTTTGACCCCCCCCCCCCCCCTTCGTCACACGGCGTCACAAAAAGTCAGACCCCCCCTCAAATATGATGTCACAAAGCTCTGCCCCCCCTCCCAAAAATAATAAAATATGCTTCAAATCGCTATAAACTATTGTCATTGTAGTGCGTATTTAATGTGTAAAACGTGTTGTCTATATTTGTTTAAAGTTGCGCATTTTGATGTGACGTCACATTTCTCAAACCCCCCCCCCCCTCGTCACACATCGTCACAAATGTCTCACCCCCCAGGTGCGTGACGTCATTTATGGACGGCCCCTAGGGGCTGGTCAGAACGTCATTACAACAAACAATACAAAACACGATAGGAATGCAAAGTATATAAAATGTAAGCAAATCACTAAAAACATACTTTTTTTTACCAGGTATGGCTTCTGAAAAATAAGATAATAGCCCACTGAGCTATTATCTTATTTTTCAGAAGCTACTGGCCACAAATTAAAGGTCAAAAAAATGGCTTATCATGTGGACATTCATAGCAGTGAAATAACATAAATTATAATCTCAATGCGTGTTTCTAAATGTGGAGGGGAAAAACCGAGGACCCGGAGAAAAAAAGTCCACGCAAACCACGGGGAGAGAGACACGCAAACTCCAAATTATACTGGTAGGAACCTCCTGGTGACATCAGCCAACAGGGGATCATTGTGTCCGTCCGTCCGTCATGAATCCAAAAATGGGAGGGGCTGGGTGGAGAGAGGAGGGTGGGGAGGGGCTGGGTGGGGAGGGTGGGGAAGGGCTGGGTGGGGAGGGGAGGGTGGGGAGGGGCTGGGTGGGGGGTGGGAGGGAGGGGTGGGGCTGAGTGGGGAGGGGCTGGTCACCCCGTGGTGCCCTTATAAAACTCAACGTTTAACCTACTCACGCCGGCTTGTGCCCGCCCTCACAGTCGGCCATATCTGCGGAATACACCACGCCGCCGTTGGCCCTGGCCATTGACCGAGCAACCCGACGTTCCTACCAGCTCCCTCCGCAGGACAATGTGTTGCAGGCGTCAGGGTCGGGATCGAGCTCCCGTGGCGTGATGTCTTCACAGTTCCATCCCTGCTACCACGCCTTTTATAGTCACTACTGCGGGTGTATTAAAAAAAATAAGTAACATTTAAAAAACTTTTTTAAAACACGCCTTAATGAAATGTACCGTACTAGCAATAGAAGAACTCCATGACTCCAGGAAGTGGCCCCGAAGCTTGCCATAAAGTAAGGGACCGTGGTCAATTACAGCCAACGTCAGATGAGCGTGGACAATTAGACCCAAGCCGAAATATAACATTTAAAAAAGATGGTTTAAAAATATTTTTTATATTTTTTATAATAGAATATAGTATTGTCATCAGTATGACATAAGTATACCAAGTTTGCAGTCGATACCACGTTGGGAAGTGGGTTAAAATTGAGTTATAAGATTTGAGGATACGACAACAAACAGAGTGAGTTAAATGATAAAAGCGTGTAATAAAGACATGCTCCATGTATTTCCCAGCGGACGTTATTCGAATAAGAGTAGGCCCACATTTTCCAAGTTTAAAATGTACTTACAAAGTACCTACTTGGGTAAAGCCACATACGCGTTATTGCCCCGACTGCCAGGCAAGATTCTACACCCTTGTGAAACCTGGTACTTTCGGCATAGCCTGGTGCTGTACTCAAGATGTGATAGGAACGCTGATTTGGGGGGGGGGGGGGGGATGTAACGTACCAAACAGCCTTTTGTACGGCAAAATGAAATACTTTCCAGAACCACTGCTATTAAAGATCCACAGCGAGAGATAAAAAAAGTGCATTACCTTCCTGACCCCGTGGGAGAAGGTTACCTGAAGGAATTTGCAGAAAGGGGCCCTAAGCCCGTCTCTATGAAGCCATCTCTTCCCACATAATACAACCCAGATGCTCAAGAGCCGCAGCCACATTGAACGTCTTACTAAGTCGCACATTTCAAAGGTCACTTGTTTACGATCTCTCCAGTTCTTTAAGAGTGAAATTTTCAGCGTAGCACAGTAAATCTGCAACAACGTGCGCTAATATTTGGACAAATGGGCACCAGACGTGAGATTGAGGAAGAAGATATCAGGTGATGGAGTAATTTCGGTTGCACAAGCCTGATTATCATGATGAGTCAATTTAGAAATTCTGGGAATGACCAACATATTTTTGTTTAATTGAAAACTCTTGTTGTGTTTGTTGTTAGCATGCTTGGCTACACCCAGCACACACATGTTCATATGTTTTCAAATTGTCGCGGCAGCGGTCCCCAACCTTTTTTGGACCAGGGACCGGTTTCGTGGAAGACAGTTTTTTCACGGACCGGGGGGCGGGGGGGGGGTCATCATTGGGTCTTTCCTTCTTTTCAAAGAAGCTCTCCAGCGACGTTTGTGTTTTACTCATTGTGGCTACTAGGGGTTAGCAGCTTGTGGGCTTAGCAAAACTGTGACAAGTGCGCAGTGCGGGAAAGAGGCACGGACGAAGTGGTCAATAACACTGGTCAACACACTTTTTCTGGCACAAGGTA